AGTACAGGACCTTAATGTAATTGTGCTAGATCATGAACATATCTTACATGGTTCGAACAACCGGTCTCATAAGTATATCTGAGATATATAATTTCTTGAAACAAAGAAAGAAAACAATACCGCGCTACCATGGCAAAGCAACAAAACCCCCAAAATCAAGACACAGTGATACTCACAATCTTGATATCCTGCTCAGGCTTCTCCTTAAACGTCTTCGTATTCTCGATCTTATGCACGACATCTAACCCCTGCACAGCTCGCCCGAAAACAGTATGCTTGTTATCCAGCCACGGCGTCTTCTCCGTCGTAATAAAGAACTGACTCCCATTGGTATTCGGGCCAGCATTAGCCATGGACAAAGTATACGGCTTATCGTGCTTCAAACTGGAGAACTCGTCCTCGAACTCGCCGCCCCAGATCGACTCGCCGCCGGTCCCGTCGCCCAACGGGTCTCCACCCTGGATCATGAACTTGCGGATCACACGGTGGAAAATGGTATTATTATAGTAGCCGTTGCGGGAATGGGTGACGAAGTTCTCGACAGCCTTGGGCGCAGCGGACGGGAACAGTCGGAGATGGATATCGCCCATGGTGGTGTGCAGGATGGCGGAGGTGCCGAGCTCGTTTGCTTTCTTCTCGGCGGATTCGCGGCCGGTGGTTGTCTGGGTGGGTTTCTCGTTCTGGATGTCGCGAGAGGATTTGGAGATCTCGGTTTCGTTGGTGAAGAGGTAGAAGCGCACTTTGGCGAAGCCTGTGCTGACGAGGATGGGGTCGCGCTCTTCGGCTTCTTGGAGGAGGGGGTTGGAGCTTGCGGCCATGGAGACCGTTACGAGGCCTTTCTTTTGCGGTTGGCCTTGGTACATTGCTAGGTTGAGGGAGCGGAAGGGCTCGTCTTTGCCGTAGACGCGCACGACGCGGTTGGTGTAGGTGTTTATGCATTTTGTGCCGTAGAGGGAGCCGTAAAGGATGAAGTGGCCGGATTCGTCGAAGATGACGTTGATTTTGGGTTGGGTGATGGGGTTTTCGAGCTCGCGTTCGACGGCGAGGCGGCGCCCGAATTCGAGCTCGTCCAGTTGGTGGATTGCTGTGCCGGCCTGTTGCATGTCTGTTATTGTGGAGAGGGATTCGTCGTATTTGCGGTAGAGCTTGCCCGTGGCGAAGTCGAAGACTCGGACCTGGCGATCTGGGAAGGAGAAGGCGGCGAATTGTTCGCCGGAGGGGGAGATTGTTAGGGATGTTGGGGTGGATTTGGACTTTTTGAATTCGAAGAGGTTGGTGGATGACTTTAGTTCGAAGACGTTGTCGGGCTTTTCGAAGGAGAAATCCCCCGCTCGCCAGTACTCGATCATGCCGGACTCGTCGGCGGAGATGACGCAGTCATACGCATCGTTGAAGGCGATTGCAGCTACCGGGTTCCGATGGATGGACTTCACGGTGTGGAGGGGGTTGGGGTTCTCGCCACGGCCGTCGAATATTTGGATCGTGCTGCTGCCTTCGTCGGTCACTGCCAGCAGTGGTAATGAGGCGCCTCGGCGATGGACCCAGCAGACACAGCGGGGGGTGAACTCGAGTGTGAGCATGGAGAGCAAGTCTGCATCCGGTAGTTAGTTCGCTGTAGCTACCGTCTGATACTCGGTATTGACATACCGAATGTAATGACATCAAACAGCTTCACTGTTTTGTCGGCCCCAATTGTCGCAAAGCTCCTACCGTCCGCGCTGACACTGACGCCCCTCACTTCGCCATTATGGGCACGGAACTCCTTCACGAACTCAACACTAACCGCCATCTTCTTCCAGAACTTCACAAAACCATCAATAGACGACGTAATGAGAAAGTCCGTGTGCGGTGTTATTGTCACAAAGGACAATTGATCCTTGTGCATGAGCGACTTGGAGTACCGCGGCGATGCGGGCAGCGCATTCACGTAGACTTTCTCGAAGGGGAGCTTGCGCCGCTTCTTCTTCGGCGCATCTGCGGACGGGAGAGCTGGACCGAAGTCATCGTCGGAGGAAGAGTCGTCACCTGGAGTCAGTTACGATTAGTATCTTGTACTCGTTGGGTTCTCAATTCGAGGGTGAGCGCACCGTCATCCTCATTGCCGTCCACCGCAGAGTGCGGTCTTTTATTGGATAAAGCTGCGACTTCTCGTCTTCTGCCGCCATTCCGAGAGAATTAAATATGAATTGAGAGAGTTGTGGAAAGGAATGGGAGGGAATGCTGGTTGGAGGAGGGAAGCAGTTGCAGGCGGTCTGCGGCAGCTTTTAAGCTCGGGCCACATCGCGAACTTTTCTGGACGTCCCGCAGTATTCGATCATTATTGAACTGTCCGCCAAATTTCCCCCCATCCACTTCCCCTGAACGTGCTGCCAGTCTCCCCCTTGACGGTAGCCTTCTTTCACATTAATTACTATCCATAATGGTCAGTTAATCATGCGGTCACTTTTCACTTTTTAATTTTTGATTCTCTCTCATGCTGACCGCTCCTAGGCGTCTGCCAATCCTACGCAGATCTTTGCGGACGATGTCATCGAAGAGAAGGGAGAGAATGCCCGTCTCTCCGCCTTCGTTGGCGCCATCGCCGTCGGTGACCTGGTGAAGAGCACTTTGGGTCCTAAGGGAATGGACAAGATCCTCCAGTCAGCGTACGTGGGACTGGATTCGGAGATGCGGGGCTGTTATGGTGGGCATGTCACTAATAGCTATCCAGGTCGACCGGTGAGATCCTCGTGACAAATGACGGTGCTACGATCCTGAAGGCCATCGCTCTCGATAACGCTGCAGCCAAGGTTTTGGTCAACATCTCGAAAGTCCAGGATGACGAAGTTGGTGATGGCACAACGTCCGTGACCGTGTTGGCGGCCGAGCTGCTGCGTGAGGCTGAGAAGTTGGTGAACCGCAAAATCCACCCCCAGACTATCATCGAAGGTTACCGGATAGCCAGCCGGGCTGCCCTTGACGCCCTCGAGAAGGCTGCTGTCGACCGTAGTGCCGACATGGAGTCTTTCCGTAAAGACCTCCACGCCATCGCTCGTACCACCCTCAGCTCCAAGGTTCTGGCCCAGGACCGTGAACACTTCGCTACCCTCGCCTGCGACGCCGTCCTCCGTCTCAAGGGCTCCACCGACCTGAGTCACATCCAGATCATCAAGAAGGCCGGTGGCAAGCTTAGTGATTCCTACTTGGACGAGGGTTTCATTCTTGACAAGAAGATGGGTGTCAACCAGCCCAAGCGCCTGGAGAACGTCAACATTTTGGTTGCCAACACAGCCATGGACACGGATAAGGTTAAGATTTTCGGTGCCCGGGTTAAGGTCGAGTCGACCGGCAAACTGGCGGAGCTGGAGAAGGCAGAGCGTGAGAAGATGAAGGCTAAGGTTGACCGCATCAAGGCACATGGTATCAACTGTTTCGTCAACCGTCAGTTGATCTACAACTGGCCCGAACAGCTGTTCACCGAGGCCGGCATTATGTCCATCGAACACGCAGACTTCGACGGTGTGGAGCGTTTGGCTCTGGTCACTGGTGGTGAGATTGCATCGACCTTCGACCACCCCGAGCAGGTTAAGCTGGGTCACTGCGACGTTATTGAGGAGGTTATCATCGGCGAAGATACTCTGATTAAGTTCTCCGGCGTGGCTGCCGGTCAGGCATGCACCATTGTGCTCCGCGGTGCTACAGAGCAGCTGCTTGACGAGGCTGAGCGCTCTCTCCACGACGCCCTCGCCGTGCTTTCTCAGACTGTGAAGGACCCCCGTGTCACCCTGGGTGGTGGTTGCGCAGAGATGGTCATGTCCAAGGCTGTTGAGCAAGCCGCTCAGAACACCACGGGCAAGAAGCAGCTGGCTGTTGACTCTTTCGCACTTGCTCTCAAGCAACTGCCCACTATCCTGGCCGACAATGCCGGTCTGGACTCCAGTGACCTCGTGACCCGACTACGACAGGCCATCAACAACGGTATGACCAGCTCTGGTCTTGACTTGCTCACCCCCGGTGGCGGTATTGCCGACATGCGGGAGTTGGGCGTTGTGGAGAGTTACAAGCTGAAGAAGGCCGTGGTTTCCTCCGCATCGGAGGCATCAGAGGTAAGGAATTCCACCAGGCCCCTTGTTTAGTAACGACACAGCTAACATTGACCCTTTGTAGCTTCTTCTGCGCGTTGACAACATCATCCGGTCCGCTCCCCGTCGACGTGAGCGTATGTAAGGTGGTAAGATGATTTCTTCTTGATGGCGCGATATGGACTGGAAACAAGTTTGTTTGGATTCAAGCGAAACGGAGAGCAGCCACCACCGTGAGCTGTACTGGATAAATGTTGATAACGTGCTCTAATCAGAGCGTAATAACCGTGACATAGACCCATTGATTGATTGACATGAGACAAAAGCATTGACGAACTTGTTTGTTATTCTATTATGGAAATTCGTAAGCTACACCACGCAATGTTATTTATCGAGTGCATCCGGCAGTTTCTCTTAGCTTATCGCAACCCGGGGTTATACTCACAAAAATGTCCGACCGCTGAATGGGGAGGCAAGGCTTCGACCGGTGGATCTTTATCCCTGCTAGGCCTTTCCTTTGTTCACCCCATAGTAGTGGTATTTATAGGATACCTATTCCCTGTTCACTTGCCCTTATATATCCTGCCTGCGGCCCTTTCCACATCCAACTTGGTGTGCTCTGACCCATCGCTGCCTTTTCCTATTTTTGTTCGTCGATACTTGGAGCCTTCTCAACCTTTCCCTTCGCTCCCTGTTGGTTAGGTTAAATCGCGAGAGAAAGGCTAGAATCGGATATGGAGAGCCAAAAAATCGAGTGGAAATGGCTCGCAAGCCGCATAATCCTGCCGATGGCATTACTCTACCTAGCTTCCTTCTTCTACACCTTGGTGAAGGTACGACTGTGCTTCTACCGCCTTAAGAAGAAGGGAATGGTACGGTACACTCCTAATCCAGGTCTCCACCACTCAAACAAGGACCCGTTCATCTAACAATCCGTCTCTTTTAGCCCATGCTCCCCTGGAATCTTGTCCTTGGAAATCTCCCGGTCCTTGCGAGGTTCATGAGAAAGGTCCCGAAAGATGCTCAAGAGGCAATGTCATTTGCACTGCTTGCCTCCGAATCCGGACTAGATACATGCTTTTACATGGACACCTGGCCATTTGGCTTCTCAACCCTGGTTGTAACCTCCCCAGATCTCGCTGTTCAGGCCTGTCAAACTTATGACCTTGTCAAGCCAGACGCCCTGGCAGCATTCATAACTCCAATGACTGGTGGTCCAACACTTTTTGACCGGAATGGCGCAGAATGGAAACGTGGACGAGAACTCTTTAGCCATGGCTTTAGCATGCGGTCCGTCATGGGTTATGTTCCGTATATTCTCCAAGAGGTGGAGGTGTACGTTGATGTCCTACGAGACCTGGCCAAGACAGGCGATACCTTTCTCTTAGACGAGATCACCTGTAGATACGTGATGGATATCATCGGAAATGTCGCAATGTAAGACGCTCGCCTGCGGTTCAGCCCTCATTGCATCAATTAATACGTTCATCAGGAACACGCGGTTTATCAGCCAGCGAAAATTCCATCCAATCGCAGCTGCAATGCGGGATACGATAGACCGGGAGTGTCAAATTGAAACAGGAAATCACTTCAGTCGTGTGAATCCTGTGCGCCTATTCAAGCAGTGGTATAACGGACGGACGATGAACCATTATATTGGAATCGAACTCGAGAAGCGGTATCAGGTATGGAAACAACAAGGCGCAACAAGCTCGTCTACGTCCAAATCTATCATGGATCTCGTCATCGCAGAGTACATGAAGACAAGACAAGTAGCAGAGTCAACGCTCGATCCCAAATTCAAGGCCTGGGCCACTACGCAGATCCGGCTGTTCCTCTTTGTCGGACATGACTCCACCGCCGTGACCATCATGTACTGCCTTTACCTCCTATCCAAACACCCAGCAGCCTTAGCCAAGATTCGCGCAGAACATGACAAGATTTTCGGCACGGACCTTTCCGACGCTCCCAACTTACTCCGCCAACGCCCGGAACTAATCAACCAACTCCCATACACATTGGCTGTTGTCAAAGAAACACTCCGCCTCTTCCCACCCGCAAATGGACTCCGGGACGGTCGTTCTAACGTCTCCCTCCGTGATCACCAAACCGGTACCACCTACCCAACGGCGGGATTTGCAATATGGATTGTCCACAGTGCTATTCACCGTAGCGCCCATACCTGGCCAGATCCACATGTCTTTATCCCTGACCGTTGGCTCGTTGAACCCGGGCATCCCTTATACCCACCGCCAGGGGCTTGGAGGCCATTCGAGCACGGATCCCGAGACTGCATCGGGCAGACGCTCGCCCTCCTCGACATTCGAGTCACGCTTCTTATGACCGTTCGTGAGTTCGATTTCAAAGACCAATATGCGAAGTGGGATCAGCGGCACCCTGCCCATGGGCTGAATACTATTTTTGGGGAGCGTGCTTATATGATTCAGGCAGGCTCGGGTCGGCCAGCCCAGGGGTTACCTTGTCAGGTGTCTTTTAATAGGGGATTCCAACCAGAGACTGGGAAGGGAATGGAACACCAGCCAGAGTAATCTGGGAGTAGCCGATGCTCAGTAAATAATCACTAAGTACTTAGTAGGTCTCCCGGAGCCCACACGGAGTACTTATATACTGTCGCTGTAGAAGTGACAACCCTTGTATAAAGCAATCCAAGAATAGTGGAACTAGGCACAATTAACTTATACATTAGCTCTAATGCAAAAACTCTTAATAAGCCCTTCCCCTAGATTGGTAAGTATGGCCCTGCTATGTGGGGTACTAATAGAACTTCAGATTGCCACTTTCAACCAAATCCACGAGCATTTTCGGCCGTGCCGCATTGCTTTTCTCCTTTCAGTCTTGGACTAAGAATCCCTAGTAATAGTCGACTGATTCCAAACCCCAATCCCGCAATGATGCTTATATACGCTGCTCACCATGGAAGCCTTGCTCACCATCTAAAAATAGAACAAATTATTGTCCTATATGCCACTCTTCTACGCTATCATATAACCGGTGTAACCTGGTGCACAACATACCGCCAATATAAGACCTCATGCAGAGGTATGACATGACGACCTAGCATAGCGCAGCGGGCTACAGACGGACGAATGAGATCACTTGGACGAGGTTAAACGGATGTAGTAATATGGTATTACCCTTCAGGTCGGATAGTTTACTAAAAAACTTAGAATTAGCCTGTCTGCCACGTTGTCGACACTGTCAAACTTTCTCTACCAAGCTTTTGCCAAGGCGTTGACAAAACGGGGAGCTGTGGATGAAGGCAAAAGGGAACATGCAGATGACTCGGCTTTGGCCACGATGGGCGAAGCAGTAGGAGGATAACTGATAGATTTCATCTGTATGTTGCCCCTGTCATTATTGAGGCAGCCGGTGTTGAGGTTGAGGTGATTCTCAGATCACTTGACAAGGGTGATACGAAAGCCACTATCTGATAAAGCCTGGCTGCTAGAACCGACCATAGGCGTATGAAGCTGATACCAGTGCCTCACGGGTTCGTTCTTTCCCTACTTGCCGTACGACGTATCCTTTTTCCTACAACATATCCCCCCACATATCTCTATGACTCTATTAGGCGGTTGTTTAATTTATCCGTGTGTACTAAGTGTGCTCAGATAGCAGCCACCAGCTTCAGCAATTTGGGGGGTCCGTAACGTTAACTGTGCCAGGTTAGGCGCCATCACGCATTAAACTAACATGATCGACGGGAACCGGAGGATCAAAGGATCATTCAGTAGATCGAAGGAATATAAGGTAGTGGTTGGATACTTGGCATGAATGAAACAAAACAGCGCAAAACCCGGACATATAACTCAATCAAGCGTAGTAACGCTGTATGTCATCTGGTAGTCAGACTTGCTTATGTTTGATCTCACCTCATCAAGACACCATCCGTCGAATCAGTGGCCCGGGTTATTTTTGGAAGTCTCTTCATCTAACAAGATGCATTAGCGGCTATCCTGATGCAGCCCAGTGGGCGGACAAAAGAATTCCTCACGAGGCGTATCGAGCAGTTGGTTAAGCCAGATACTATTATAAAATATTCCCAGGATCGACATTCAGTCTCAATACTATCACCAGCAACCCCCGGGCACATTAACCCCGCCAGCTGTTTATTTGGAGAGCAGAATGTAACCGTAATATGGACATTCTGTGTTGTCATTTAGCGTATGGGGCTGGAAGTCAGCACGGAGAATCTCCATTGGACACGATGTAACATCTCGCATGAAATGAGTAAACCGTCAGCACTAACAGGGCTAACAACACGGCTGCAGTTCTGTGATGCTGAGCCTTCTGGCCCCACACCAGGGCTGATTGATTAATCTAATTGATGGACTGATGGAGATCGTCCTTTTCGTGCAAGAACTGTGCTTTATTACTTTGCAAAACAAGTGATACAAATACGCCTGACCTTGATTAGTACTGTCTGACATACATACAGCTGCAGACTTCACCATGCACCCCTCACCAGAGGCAGACAAAGGTGAACAGGGATGTGCAGCCGGGTGATCACTAACGGGCATATTCCAGGACGTCGTCCGCCGCCCTCCACTTCGCAGTTTCTGGAAATGTGTTGTGCAGTCTTCAACCCACCACAGAAACTCTGGCAGAATGGCTCGCAACTCTACCATCGATGAGGTCACATTTGTGGTATGCCTTGAAGCCATGTCCTTATCCAGATTTCTTCGACGGTGCTTTCCCGCTAACTACACCCATAGACCATTCTCTGGGTCTGTCTGACCATCAGCTTCTTCTTCGTCATCGTCCGGCTTGCCCTCCAATACCGCATTGACCGCAAGTGGCACACAAGTGACTTTATGATCCTGGTGGCATGGCTGTTATCGCTGGGCAATGCAATCGCTTGGTCCTCCATGTACAAGCAGATGTACCAAGTGATTTCTCTCTCCAAAAGCTCGACTACTATTGATTTCTCGAAAGTGCCACCTAATATCGCGTGGATGCAAAAGCGGTACCTCAACGGACAGCTCTCTGCCTACCTGCTTTCCTTCACCGGTTTATGGCTGATCAAGCTATCGTTCGTGTTTTTCTTCCGGCAACTGGGAAATCGATATCGTACACAGAAGATCCTCTGGTGGGTAGTGTTGGTACTCGTCATTGCCTGCTATGGGGGAACACTGGGCTGCCTGGACTATAAGTGTGAGATGAGTTCCCTAGAGTATAGTATCGGTCAGTTGCCGTATCCTCCAGCTGCGTGACCGACTCAGACTGCTAACAATGGGATTGGCAGAGGTTTGTGCAAGTGCGAGCGCCATGCACTCCCAAAAGGTGAGGCTGAGTGTGGCTACGACTTTGGACATTGTATCGGACGCAGCCAGTACGTGGAGCCCTTCTTAGCACTACGCTCGCTCTTAGTTCAAGAATCACTGACCAAGGTGCACTCTGCCAGTCATTGTTCTGTCCGGTAACGTGATGTGGAGGGCTCGAGTGAACCTGACCAGAAAGCTTGCCTTGATCGGAGTTAGCTTCTTGACAGCCTTTATCATCATTATCGCGTTATTACGGCTATTCCTCAGCGAGTCAGATATGAGCATCATAGACCCGATCTGGCTAGGCTTCTGGAATGCGCTTGAAATCTGTGTCGGTGAGTTGACCCCGATAACGCGATAGCTGCTGTGGTATTCTCTGATTGTGTCGCTAGCCATTCTGGTTGCCTGTCTGGCCTCTTTCTGGACCTTTTATACCAAGTCAAAGAGATCGCCATCACCAAGCGATATCTATAGACGTGATTCCCCTCCGGCCAGAAATTACGCCTCCTTCGAAGCACCAATCTTACTGGGTAGTGATATGAGTGAAAGAGACAAAAATCCGCAATCTGCGGTATCCATCCAAAGTCTGAATTCGAGACAGGCCCCGGATACATGCCATGCGATTCAGGTCTGAGAGACAGGATCGTTAACTGTCTGCAATTTCCGCTCTGTCGGAGTGTCTGTATAGGGTTTTGCATAGCCAGTAGGTGTAGCAGTAGTTACTTTATAGAAAGGGCGTCTGGAATACTACGAACCTGTAACACAGTGCATTGTTTCTGGATATAAGTATGGGCGCTGTTACTTGCATACATCCTGCGTCGCGTTACTACGTAATCTGAGAGATGCATTTGTGGCTCAGTCGCGGCCGTCATTGATTCGCCTACGGAGTACTCTTCATCTTGTCGCTCTGTCTCATCAAACGATTCAAGCCTTGTAATTCCTCCTGCTCAATCGAGCCAGTTCAGTACCATCGCCATCTGGTGTGCTTCTACTATACCAAGTCAGCTGCTGTGCTCTTGCATGGCCAATCTGCAAGCTCATCGGCTATGATAATTGTGAACTGATTGGAGCTGCCGTATTTTTCCGGTCTAGGGCTGCTTCTTACTGCTATCGCCGACTATACGGTATCCGTCTGGCCGAAGCCAACACTATCGGCATAAACCAAGGCCGCAGCCTCTATTGACGAAACAGGGAATCCTAGAGTATCACCCTAAATCTAGCATGGAGTGTGGGAAACCTTCCTCAAGATTGTTCACACAACTCTCAGCATTTGACCTGGAAGTGATATGTTGCCCAGAATGGTGAAGCAGGATGCCCTTCGGACGAACGGACGATAAGTGAGATAGGTTACTAGAACGGGAACACCTCACCTTCACCTGTGGTTTGTATGACGAGGATACCCAAGGAAAGGCTTCCTTGCCCAGTGACAAATGTTCATCTCACACCATTTCCAGTTTCTTACGTTTCTAGTCTATAGGTGGGGGCGATGTGACATCCAAAAGATTATATTATATTGCCCTGGGGGGCGGAAAGCCTTACTAGAGGGGGGACTAATCATATAGAATATCGTGGACTAGCCCATGGATATTCGGACTATTTTCCCACTACGTCATGATCGGCGCGAGCCGAGCCTTCTCGTTGTTCAGGAGTCTTTTAGTAGAGGTCAATTCACTGATTCAAGGGCTAAAGACATACGATCAATAGGTTAGGTAAGAATATTAAAGGTTTGGGATAGAGAGGAGAACAAATCGCTTATAAAAAAGGGGAAAGATATTGAGGACAGATTCATTAGTGACCGGAGTATTACCCCAGCATGGACTCGAGGACTTATCGTCGCCCCTGCGCGGACATAGACTACGGAAAGATTATAAAAGAAGCCTTTGCATTCGCATAACAGTAAAGGGAAACCTAAGTAAATAGGGAAAACCTTGACCAAGGCAAATAAGATGTACTATCCCATCCCGAAGCGGGAGCCCTTCGCGATCTATATGCCAGAAATTGGCATATATAATTCTGATATGTTACAAAATAGACATATCGGTAGATGGCAACTGTAGAATGGTTCTCAACTCTTACATCGACGAGGTTTTGCCGATACTGCAGTATCATGCATCTGACACACGAAGAGGTGTTTACTAGGTTCAATTAGTGTATGTCTTAAGCAGAGAACGATCAAGTACTCACAGCCTATCCATATTTAATCTCAATCAGTCTAGATATTGTGAAGTTATCTCTCAAGTGAGGGGACTTGGGGGTAAGCACATACGCCCTGTCCATAACCCATCTCTGTCAGTCTAGATATCCTCAAGTATTCTGTAAGTAGGGAGGGGATAAGCACTGACAATCTATCCATAATACATTGCTATCAGTTTAGATATTCTCAAGTCTTCTGCAAGCAGGGAGAGGGTAAATACTGACATTCTATCCATAACCCATCTCTATCAGCTTAAATATTTTCAAAATATCTTATAAAAGGGGGGATAAGTACTGACATCCTATCCATATCCATCTCTGTTAGTTTAGATATTCTTAAGATATTCTTTAAGCAGGGAAGAAATAAATACTCACCTTCTATCCATATCCATATCTATTAGCTTAGATATTCTCAAGTTATCTTGTCTCTGAAATAGAGATAGGGAGATACTGACAGCCTATCCATATCCATCTGTTACCACACAAGGTGTATCAATAACTAGTGTCGATCATAAGTAACATGCGGACTAGCCCGATCGGACTTGTACGAATAGACTCATCTAGAAGCCACTCAATTCTGCATCCTTCCAATAGTTTGTATTCACCCTAGACCTCGCTAAATATCTTGCGTCGGCTCTTTTCTTCTTCTAAAGCTATACCCCGCTCATGGAGGTTTCCTCTTCACAAGAAATATTTCGTCTTTGTTGAATATGTCGTCCCCTTCAGAGGAGCCACTGGGTCTCGGGACCCCGATGCTGGCGCGATTCCCATTCTCCTCTGACAAGAAAAGTTTCAATCACGGTAAGACCTCAGGAGAAAATGAGAATTGATAGGGGGAAAAAAAACTGGCTAACTCGGAGTTTGAAGGTGGCTGGGGGGCATATCCAAACATTGTTCGAGATGCTATGCGCCAATTTCAGACGCAATTTGAATCCCACCCAGACATATTCGTCCGTTTCAGCCAGCCAGCAATACATACTGAAGCCCAGGAGAATGTTGCGAAGGTGTGTGGAGTGAGCAGCAATGACTGCGTGTTTGTCAGAAACACAACCACTGGAGCAGCCACGGTTTTGCACAACCTCAATTACGCTGAAGGCGATGTGATTGTGTATTTCTCCACTACCTACGGAGCCTTCCAAAAGATGATCACCCACTTGACAGAAATAACCCCTGTCCAAGGCTGAAAGATAGAATATGAACTCCCTATTTCCTAAGAGGAGCTGGTGAGAAAGTTCACAGACGCCATTCAACAAATCAGGTCTCAAGGCCTCAATCCACGCATTGCCATCTTCGAGATGGTTGTCAGCATCCCGGCGTTCAGGTTCCCTTTTGAAAGGCTCACTCAAGTCTGTAAGAGTGAGAATATCCTGAGTCTGATCGATGGGGCCCATGGACTTGGCGCGATCCCTATCGACCTAGAACAATTACGACCGGACTTTTTTGTTGGAGAGTGTCACAAGTAAGTTTCTAGATAATTGTCATAGCGAATCGCCGACGAAGCTTCAAGTCGAGGCACGGAAGCGGGTTAACACATTTTTGCACAGGTGGCTGTATGTGCCGCGCAGCTGTGCCGTCCTCTATGTTAACCCAGCACACCAACATCTGATGCACACTACAATTCCAACGTCTTGGGGCTATATCAACACGGATGGATCGCAGGTTCTTCTTCCATGGAGTATCAGCACTGAAAGCACTACCAATTCGAAGTTCCAGACGCTTTTTAGATACGTTTCCACCCATGATAGTACGCCCATCTTGTGTATCCCGACAGCGTCCGATTCCGCCAACAATGTGGAGGGGGAGGCACGTATCTATCAGTATCTTGAAACCCTCGCCAACGAAGGTGCCGACATTGTTGCGACGACACTGGCCACGGAGGTGCTGCAAGAACCAAACCTGAAGCCAGGTGAAGTTTCCCAATACCGGCGCTGTGCATTGGCCACAGTGCGACTGCCACTTGCAATTGATGGATATGACTGCAATGAAAGCTCACCCTATGCAGCACTGTCACCGGCAGAAGTCCGGGACACCATCAATTATTTCGGGGAGAGATTAGCGAACGACTATGGGACTTGGGTTCCTATATTTCCTTACGAAGGTTGGCTTTGGGTACGATTGAGCGCGCAGATTTACTTGGAGCGAAAAGACTTTGAATTGCTAGCAGCCTGGCTGAAAGCATTGTGCGACGAGGTGGGGACCAGGCAGCCTAGGACTCGGTCCGGGCCAAGTCTGAAATTCTAATGGTCCTAGGGCTCTTGGGATAGGGCATGAGAACATGGTGTTGTAGAGCGAGAGTTGCTATATGTGCTTTTTTGCGAAGCTATGTCGGCGGCACTACATATCTTATACATATAGTCAAACGAATAGACCTGGCCCGCCCCACACCAAGCACCGGCATGGTATCGGGAAACAGCTTCTAAACTCTAGTCACTCTACTAGCCTAGTAGGAAGTCAAGTGACATAAAGCCATCACTCCTCTCGTCCCTCTAATCCACAACCGCGCTGCCACGCGATGAAATCAATTCTCCCGCAAATCTTATATCTTTGCAACGTTGCTCTTGCCAAGACCAACCCCACTCAACAAGAATAATTGCTTGACAGCCAGGATATCATATATCATGGCGCAACAAGACAACAGGGTCCCCGGCCACAACGATGCCATCTACGACACCTTGCCCAAGGATGACCAGATATTCAAGATCGAGTTCCTTGAGATTGCCCCGACACCCATTATCGCGTAAGATCTTCCCTCCTCGAAGTACAGCTTATTCTTATGCTTTTTGATGTTAACAACCTGATCAAGCGACCGTGTCTTCTTCGTCTACTTGCGCGGTTATCTACCTGAATCTAAAAAGAGGGAGCTGGCACTTCCTGACGAGGGTCTTGTCAATGCGACCCTCAAAGTGAGCGCCTCTGCTATTTACCCCGATGGTAGTCATGACAATGAAGACTCTACGACCGGGCCGTTGAGAACTACGCCCTTTAATGATCTAGCCCACCTTACTATTCGTGATGCACGTGGAGTTCAGATTGATTATATGCCTAGTAGCGGCCGCAGTGATATTTTACTCGATTTTCAGATTCCTACAATGTTTTTGAGGACTGGTATGTGGACGTACAAGGTTGACGCGAGAGCCGGAGATGTAGACAATACATGCCTATTTGCTATGAAGTTGACACAATGGTTAGAGGGGGGGCTTAGGTAGGATGTTTGGAGTGGATGAGAGGAAGCTATAAGAGTGTGAGCCAAAGCTCGAGGCGTGGCAGGAAGATGTGAATCTCACGGGTACTGCGGCTGTGGCTCTTGCCCTGTAACTTGATATCTTTGATTCTGCAGTGATATCAATACTATATAGGCAGGACTATACAATCTAGATTTAACTATACTCTGTAGGAGCGCTCTGGTAGGACACTGGTCCCAGTCTCAAAACAGAACTCTTGCAGAACGCACAGCCTTATGAGTTAGGTGAGTTATATAGGTTCTTAATCCTATCGAGATATTGCAAATCATCAGTTGCACTATCTTGCAAGAGCAGAGCCACTTTGCTCAGTGTTTGACACGTATTTCAAACGATAATCCCAAGATACGCTAGACTATTTGGGATTCGGTTCGAAGAAGTCTGGTCTGAGCTTTGTAAGTACACACAATACTGTATCTTACCGGGGTGTCCATGACAAAATATATTTTACAGTACCTTGTTTCATATATACAACGGTACCTTGATCGCCCCTCATTCCCCACCTGCCGCTGGACTAGCGTGATCGGCCGGCAGGATGCATTAACCTTAGCATTGATACCTATGTAATACAATTGTTGGTGATAGATTCGCAGTCCCCCAGGTGGCTCAGACTGCTGGCTACAAGGTACAATCAGGCAGGCATCGCGAGAACAGAAATTCTCTTGGAGGTCGGATGGCTACCCGGTCGGGTCGTTACCCGGTCCCCCCAACAGTCTATGTTAACCAATAGCCGGTTTTCAACGACACGCTGCACCAAGGTTAATGGAGGGTTTGAACAGGTACAATATACCAGTAAAGGACATTGTTGGTTCCCCCAAAAAACCAACAATCCAAAGTACTACCCCTCACCCCTCACCCCGCTTTCTAATCTCTGGTATTTATTGTAGTCTGTTCTCCTGAGCGGTTTACGCTCGTTCTAACTCTCGTTCTAACTCTTCTTCTCACTCTCCTTTTTACTCTCGTTCTCACTTTCCTTCTTACTTTTTTTTACTCTCCTTCTCACTCTCCTTCTCACTCTCCTTCTCACTTTCCTTCTTACTCTCCTTCTAACTCTCCCTCAAAAACCACCTGCCCTTGTCTATTCTTCAGGGCATACCAATTCTATCTGCACCATATTAGGTTGGCCACTACAAAGGACCAACATGCACGTCCTCAAGGAGTTATTACGAGTGTATACCCTTGTTAGTCTTCTACTGTGTCTTGGTTTTGCAGCCCCAGTCATAGAATCAGACTATGGCCAAAAGATGCTACAGTCCAAGCTTGGCGCTGCCTACAATGATAGCGCCATGGTTATGGTCTTAAGCAGCTTTGTCGCGCATCTGTGGGCTTACAATTGGGACATGTTCGCCAATGGCATTCTTCCGCCTGGCGTCGAGTTCGTTCCAATGCTCTGGGGGGCCAAGATGTTCAGCGGCTGGCATGAGGCTATCGAGGTCGCTCTCGCCAGCGGAGCCCGATATATACTTGGTTTCAATGAGCCAGACAGTCCTTCGCAGGCCAATCTGACTCCTCTGGAGGCCATGGTATATTATAAGGAGTACATCTCCCCCTACTCCAGCAAGGCCAAACTTGTTTCTCCAGCCGTGACTAACAGTGGTCTGAACTGGATGCGATCGTTTATGAGTCTTTGCCATGACTGCGATATCAGTATTATGGCAGTGCATTGGTATGGTGACACAGCTGAGGACTTTAAGACATTCGTGACCGAAGCCATTGAGACCTCTCAGCAATACAACATCCCCGAGATCTGGATTACCGAGTTTGCATTGACCAGCGCCATTAACGGCGGCGACCCATCTGACTCCATCAAATTCCTGCGAGACGTTATTCCATGGCTCAATTCTCAGAAAGCTGTGGGTCGATTCGCATACTTCATGTGTGCCGAAGGCTTTTTGTTGGAAGGGGAAAGCCTCGGTGTTGTCGGGAAAGCCTACACTGCTTCCCATAGACTTTGAATCCGTTTGTCCGGTATAGGAGGGTCTGCGGTCTAAAACACACTCCCATCTTTAGTCTGGTGTATCTACTCTTCTGAGCTTATGACTTATGACGCCCTTTTCTTTCCGCTCACCTTGTTATTATTATTTTGTTTTTCTTTTATCTTTCCATGCTGTACTTGTGTTCGTCTATTTGGCTCACCTATATCTGGCCCTGCCCTTTTATCCTTGGGCTTATTTCTCTGATTATGTTCATCTCACTGCAGGATAGTTGGATAAAAAGTTTTGGTAATTGACATGCATTACACCTTGTTTCAAACAAATGAATGTTTGAGTGAAATTGAAATTGTCATATGTTTGCTTTACAGAATGTATAGGTATCTCTCTTTTAGTATTGGGTGTTAAGAAGATTGATAACTAAGCAGCCCCGAGGGGTCACTTGTCCCACTCTCTCTTGCATAGCTTGCAATAAATAAGCTTTGGAACTGCGGGGTTGCCAGGAACATGATCGCACAAAAACTGTATTAAAAACCTACATGACAGTAATGTATCTAACAGATCAATACGGTATTAAAACAGTAGTAGGAGTGAAATTATTGTCGAGCCATCTTTGCTTAATAGCGTCGACCTAGTTCTGTATGTTTTTGGGTCCGGAAAAGCGAATGAAAGGTATACAACAGGGCAGCAATTCGCAACACATTGTATTGTAGTCTGGCAGGCTGGATACCGTCTTCGAAGCGATCTGCCTTTGTTTTGCAGTCCACCGTCAGGAACCGTACCCGACCCGCGGGTTCTGATGCGGAGCTTGTACCCACACTCCTAAACCCATGGGTTATGGTTGAAAATCCGTTTAGGTATAAAGTTTATAAAAATTCTAATTGGGATATAACTAGCTATCAAGTTGCTTAGTTATAAGGTTTCAAAGAGCGCTCTGGCATCAGAGCTACAGTACAAACCGAGAACAACTTGTGTCCAAGAGGTTCTCAACTCAAAGAAGAGTGATGGTCAGAATAAGCTGTATCTCCGCCGAAGCGCAGCTGGGTCCTGTGGGACTGTATAGAGCAAAAGCACGTTTTCATCCACACTAACCAGCGATACCCTCTAAGACTTGATTTCACTGACAAGAATTATTTTCAACCCTGTCGATATGTACCTAATCACCAAGAAAATCAAGATATACCCTCTTTTGACTGCACATTGCTAGTGTTGAGATTGCGGCCTGACCTTCTTTCCCGTGCCTCCATGTTCTTTTTGTACTCCTTAAAAACCTTCTGCACGAAGGAGACCAGGTTTGTCGGGAAGAAGGAATGGGTCATCGGCATCATACTCTCCAGATCTCTCTAGCTACGTGGAAGCCATGCGCTTACTGGATTTGCGAAAAGACATCGAATAACATTGTTGCGACTAGTTATTAAGGAAAATCCAACTATTTAGGTAGAATACAAATATCTGGCGATGGCTAGTGACAATGGAACCTCTGTTCCCTCGCGTGGCTATAATTAAACCAAAGATAAGTGGGCTGCGTGATCTAGCGAAACTAACTCAATCATTTCATAACCTCAGCAAGCACAGCAAACAAAACCTGATTGTCGACCCTGCAGCCTTCCCACTGAAACCGTGCACTCCGATACCCGCATCGAAGCCGCATATCAAGCTCTGAGATGCTTAAGTTCTTTGTGTTGCAATTCATAACTAGCTCCAGGGCCACAGCGCACACGGTTGTATCTTGATACTCGTCTTTCGATACCTCTGTGCTAATGGTCGTGTTTATGACATTCTGCTCTGGTAGAAGTAAGGATTCGGGATCCGGCTCAACTTCGGGAGAGATTGAAAGGCAGCTGGACTCCTGGAGGAAATCCTTGAATTTGCCAAGAGGTGCGTATGGTGGTGGATAGATATCGAGTTGGGAAATGTCTTCTGGAGTTATGTTCTCTGCGGTTCCTATGAATCCAGTCATATCAGATATGAGGCCATGGAGGTGATAGATGAGTTATATTATATGCGCGGGGTGGATTGACTACAATAAAGTGAGATATAGCGCCTTACCCAAGAGCGATGCATCCCCAAAAGGCACGAGGTCACTGCTTATATCTCTTAATGAATCGTTCTCGCTCTGCGTCTGTTCGATAAATCCAATAGAACCGTAGTCGGTACGTCTGGAATAGAGCAACGCTATCAACCTCTCATTCACTTGCTGGAGCTCATCCACAGTAGACTGCAGTCTTTTGATCTCTCGAGAAGTAGTGGCTTCCATGGATGCAAGTCTCCGCTCCAGGTCCGCTACATAGTCGCGTTTTCGCTGTCTGCAGCGACGCTGGTTGTTACGGACTCGGGTGAGATCCTCTGCCTAGCTAAGAAGTCAGATCTCACGTACTAAGCGGAGGTGACAATGAGATCTCGTACTTTGGTTTTCTGCTTAATTCGTGGCATGGTGGGCGAGCTGAGTGTGGCGAATCGAGTCCCGCCTCGTTAACTTTGATATATACTCACGAAGGGACGTCTAACTCGAGTTTCACACCACTGATGACGTATCTTGATTTTAGCGCTATGTAAGATGTATAGAGGATGAATTATCCAGGGACAGGTGGACAAGAAAGCGTAGAAACAGTCGCACACCAACGGGATACGGATTTAATGAAATTAACGGATGATTCCCCGCACTCGGATCCCCTCCGAATGTGGTGACATACCACTTTCCCAGCCATACTCACACTGGTGACATACCAGCTATCCACCCAATAACACCATGACTAGCGTTATTATATTTGCTTGTTTTCAATCAGTTGTTAATAAGAAGGATCGAGGATATAAATACGGGCGAATGCCCCCGTCTGCTGTTCAGAGAGCTGAGCATACGATCACTCTCAACCATAGTACATACATCCAATCCACCTTATAAACCTCCAAAGTGTAAGGAATCTCCTACAATATGTGCGACAATACCTACAACCTTGTTCAGTCTCGCTACGGTGACATCGCAAAACAGAGTACCAACGTTCAGCAACATGACAACGAAGAGGAAATCGCTAGAGCGTTTGGCTACAGTGCGGAAGATTTGAGTTCATTGCCAGGAAAGACTAATCTTGGCCTGAGCTGTGGAAATCCGGTGGGATTTGCGAATGTGAAAGAGGTCTGCTCCTTGACTGATTGTTTTTCCACGGCGGTAAGAATCGAAGATTCTAACTCTCTAGCAGGGTGAGACAGTTCTGGACCTGGGCAGCGGTAGCGGCATTGATGTCCTCCTGGCGGCTCGTAAAGTCGGGCCCAATGGACAGGCCATCGGTGTAGATATGACAAGAGTAAGCTCTTCCAGGCCTTTTCTCTGCAGACGATTGGACTAATACTCGGTCAAGAGTATGATTGAACTCGCCGAGAAGAATACCCAAAAGGCAGAGCTTTCCAATGCAAAATTCATTGAGTCCAATATCAAGTCCATCCCGCTGTCAGATTCCAGCGTCGACTGCATCATCAGTAACTGTGTCATTAATCTTGTCCCGGCCACCGACAAAGCGGCCGTTTTTCGAGAGATCGCGCGCCTACTGAAGCCCGGCGGAAGGGTCGCGATCAGTGATATTCTAGCTAGAAAGCCGCTCCCGGATCATATTACCAACAATATGGCGCTTTATGTTGGGTGTGTTGCTGGCGCTGGTCAGATTGTGGAGTACGAGGAGTATCTCAGGCAGGCTGGATTCGAAGGCATGTATACCGCTATCATGAGAGCCTTAGGTATTGACTTGTTCATAGGCGTGTTTATTGTTGATACGAAATCGGACCTTAATCTTTATAAAGAATCTTCGTATTTGCCTCAGAGCTCATGTTGTGGCGGTGGCCTTGAGCGTAAGGGGACTCCGAGTGATATTGCAGCTTTGGATTTTAATGAGTGGGTTGGTCAGTTATTGTCCTTCGCCCCCGCTTAATTACGCTGTTTACCCTATTGACTGTTTGTCCAGGTTCCTTTCAGATCTATGCTGTCAAGGCTTAGATTGCTTGCTTTGCATTTTGTTCTATAGGAGAAGTTGATTTTTCGAATACCGTTTCACAGAATGCGCTTCTGAAGCATGGCTCGGTCAACCCTAATGCTATGGTTTTCTAACAAGTATACCACTTGGAATACACAGTGCTCGCTAAATATAGCATTTGACGTTTTGGCAGCAGGATTGCCAAGATTCCAGGATATATGCAGTGTGCATAATGCATTTATACCGCAGAGAGTGAATAATGAAGATAATCATCAACATCCCTTGCTTCAGGTGATGTCGCCAATCCCTTCCAATAAGCAGCGTCATCGCGACCGTTTGTTTTCCCTGTAACACGCTTCAAGTCCCTGTTATGCCATTGAACAGCTCTCCCTTTGTTTGCCTTCGATTTGTTTTCGTCGTGGGTTAGTTAGCATGACAGGAAAGTAACCCATTCCGTACATTCCAGGGCACTTCCGCATTCTACACATTCCTCCGTACCACCTGTCCCACCCCTCATCGAACACTCTTCTCATCTCGATGTTGCTCTCACCTATCCTGCAATAGTTGCAACCTTGCTCACGATCGCAAATGATGATGCCGCCTGACTGGCTATACGCGATATTCCTGTCCCTAGTTTTTGCGGGCTGGGGAGCCGCTATTCAACTTGACCTTCAAGATGAGCGTAAGCTGATACACTCTGCGCCATAGAGTTCCACCTTCGCCTTCGACCTTATTCGTGCATGGCTTATCCCATACTAACAGCATCATTTCTCCCTAGAGTCGATCAAGTCCGCAGCCGCGACAGCGGCCTACAACATGATGAACTATTACCACGGAAACGAGTCGGGCCAGACCCCCGGAAAACTCCCTGACACATGGTGGGAAGGCGGCGCAATGTTTATGACCTTAATCCAATACTGGTTCTGGACCGGCGACACGTCCTATAACGAGGTTACCACGCAAGGAATGCTCTTTCAGAAAGGCCATGACGACTACTTCCCCGCCAACTACAGTAACTATCTTGGAAACGATGACCAGGTCTTCTGGGGGCTAGCCGCCATGACCGCGGCCGAGCTGAACTTTCCTGACAAAGAAGGAGAGTCGTCGTGGTTGTCGCTGGCACAGGGTGTTTTCAACACGCAAGTCCCGCGCTGGGATAACTCCAGTTGCGATGGGGGCCTCCGATGGCAGATTTGGCCTTACCAGGCTGGGTATACGACGAAGAATGCTATCTCCAACGGTGGTCTATTCCAGCTGGCGGCTCGTCTGGGCCGGTACACCAAGAATCAGACCTATATTGACTGGGCCGAAAAGATCTGGGACTGGAGTGCCACTACGCCGCTGCTGAAGACAGCTGACTGGAATATCGCCGATACGACGACTACTGAGGCGAACTGCCAGGATCATGGGGATCTGCAATGGACTTACAATTACGGAACTTACCTGAGCGGAGCTGCGTACATGTATAATTTGGTGTGTCCATGCCCGGTTTCACCCTCTGGGTTATCCGCTAGTGCACGATGGCAACATTGCTGATCAAATACAGACCGATGGTGGTGGCAAGTGGAAAGAGGCCATCGATGGCTTGCTCGGAACCACGATAGCCAAATTCTTCCCCCATGAGTATGGTGGGGACATCATGTCGGAGATCTCGTGTGAGCAAAGCATGATGTGCGACCGTAACCAAGACTGCTTCAAAGGCTTTCTCTCATCTTGGTTGACCTTCGCGACTACAATTGCTCCATTTACACAGGACCAGATCCTACCGAAGATCAAAGCCTCAGCCCAGGCTGCAGCGAAGCAGTGCTCTGGCGGCGACTCCAAGTCCGACTGTGGACGTAGTTGGTACAAACAAGATAAGTGGGATGGCTCAAAGTCGCTGGAGTCAGACATGAGCGCATTGAGTGTCCTGTCGTCCACCATGATCGCTCACAAGAAGGAGCATCAGGCACCCTTGACGGCGGACACCGGTGGCACCAGCAAGAGTAACCCCAGCGCAGGCTCGGGGCACAAGGATCAGCAGGCAGGCACGCCAAGGCCGATCACGGCTGGGGATCGGGCTGGCGCCTCAATTATAACGTTCTTCTTCGCGTGCGGCTGGGTGGCCTCGGTGAGTTGGATGGTTTACGGTGGATAGTCAATGGTCTCTATATCTTCCTGCGGGTAGATTCTTGCATTGTACAAAAGGTGAGATAACTTACGTTATTGCTATCGGGATTGCCCGCGCGGACGGAGTACAGTGTTATGCTTCGTTGTAGTCTTCCTATGGTTAGATTGCGGGCGTGAGGCGTTATTTTTTTGAAACCATGATACTTGCGATAAGTGATGTAAGAGTATTGCTTTCTTTTCGGATGTCAACGACCAATTCAAAGTCAATATGATCGTGAGCCCATTTGTGTACAGGTCAACGAACTTGGGTCAGTCGATGTGACAGGAACCCACAGGGATTACCTTGGTTAGGGCACCGGGACAATCCACGGATGAAAGAATACTATGCCAACCACATCACAAATGAGGTATGCTATACTGATCCATGTTCCTCCAACAATAATGCTTGACATACGTATCATAAACCGAGACTGAGCACTATTGGCGACTGATGCTTCGAGCCACAAAGTCGTCTAGTCAGGACGGAAGTGGCTTGTACGGGACTGAATAAATGAACAAGTGAACGATACAGAAAAAAATAAGAGAAACGAAGAGAAACGATCGGTAGAATCGTAATAGCCATATTGCAGTAATGAGGACGCTCTCTGGTGGGCTCTCTCCACGGATGTGAAGAATTTCGCTATACTGGTTTCTGGACGGCGTGAAAGACTTAGAATTGTTGGATGTATTGCAGTTGTTGGGCGTTGGCTGCAATGAGAAATGAGAGAGAGGACTTATCTTCGATTCCATCCAGGCCACCACACCAGTATTTCATGAGAGTGTTCGCCCATGGGGCTTCTGCTCTTTCATTCTCTCGTAGCTGGGGAGGTTTGGCATAGGGAGCCCCAGTCATGCCTGGTCTCCCACCGGGAGGACTATATTTCTCAAACATGTTAGGCTCTAGCATGAGGGTATAACCCAGAGGAGCGAGGAAGACTTACTGCTGAAGGGCAACCTTGCCGTACGTGTCAGATGTGAGAGCGCCACCTAGCTCCTCGGCGCGAGTCAGGACAGGAAACAAGATAGCCAAAACGTCGATGAGGTCCGCATATGCAAGGGGACTACTCTTCCCATGTAGGACAGAGAGAGAGGACAAGGGGCCTCCAGTAAATGGAGTCAATATCAATGAGAAGACAAGGCAGTGCCATATTGTAAGGACGAGAAAGTAGAACCATAAACAGAGATATTGAAAAATGAGTAAACAAGATATCAGCACAGTTCGAGCGAAAACATTTCTTCGACCCTTCTTAGGAGAGTTCCCAGATGGCCTTGTTTGAGATCAGCGTACAGGTCAGCTTTCGCATACCACGAATATAATGTGAATTGTTTATGCCTTTTCTGTCTCTCGTCACATATTTTCATTGATTAGAAAATATCTTGGAACTATTTTAAGAGGACGAATCTAAGGTATGGTGGCCAGCATTTCGCCGCCTAAATTTGGGGACAACAGACATGGGTCGAATACTGAACTCCATAACAAGTCCATGTATGTTATGAACACTAGGGAAGCTAGGATCTCTGGCTAGGGCTATATCAGCGGAGAATACATAGTCTAAGCCCATCCAGGCAATAGTAGATCCCCTGAGAATTTTAGATAAGGATTGAAAAAATCGTACTGGTGCCTGTGGAGCCCTTCGCTTCACCAACGTGGGTAGGCCCCTCAGAACCACCGCGTCAAAGGCTGGTCCTATTATATTGTGTATCCAGCTGGGGAAACACTGCTAGAAGGAAACGATCTACTTACACACACGGGTATGCAGATTGTTGGGCTAATTTGGAGAATCATTTTTCGCGAGTAAGTGCTAAAACCCTAACTCGAGCTCGGCCGGAAGGTATGATCGACCGGCACGGGGCAGCCCCGGAGGGCTAAGCGATAACCCTGCATAAATTTAGGGATCCGGGGGGAACAGACCCGCCCTAACTCAGATCGATTACGCTCCTGCGTGCAAGTGCCAGGTAGATCCTCTAATTCCTTACTCTAATCTAAGACATTTGGAATTGTACATGATTTCGTCGAACACGTTTCTAACAAAATCATGATCGCATGTGTAAGACTACATGACTGGGAAAAAGACCCAAAGTAGAGATAAGGGAAGTCAGAAGTGAACACTGACACTGTTTACCAAGTGAAAACAGAAGAGATATGATTGGGGAAAGCACCATTCTACCACTTCTTCGATCACTCATTCCACCAGGGGCCGTGTTCTCGAAGTATCCCGGTCCTGGCCAACGGAGAATACATCCGATACAGACTACGCACATTCCATGCAGGGCGTCCTCCACAAGAAGCTTAAGCTATCTTAGCTCTCGGCTAATGGGAAAAGGTTTCCAGTACTCACATTCCACACATAGATTAGGCGCTGCAAGGATCAGCTATCTACACTATCAGACTATGTCTCAAATCTATTCTTTATACTAGCAAAAGATAATGATTCTGTGAAAAGATTAGGTCTTGTTGTTATCAAGGAAAGCAAGGATACTGTCTGAAAGGATATAGATCAGGAATATTGAGTGTTCCATTAAGGGAGGATGAAAACGGACAAGCTGTGTTAGGCCCCTAATTGACTAAATGATCGATTTAGATAGACTAGAGGAACTACGGGTGTAGGTAGTATCATCAACCGAAAATAACAATTTACCCGCTTGATCAGAATACAACTCCTCCCTGTCGCATTCGTAATCCATTCCTGTAATATCGCCCATATCACCAGTAAAAACAGATGGGCGAGAGTCGGAGGCTTTCACATTGTCCTTCGAATTATTTCACATATTTCCAAGGCTGTAAGAAAATTCCAAATGATATCCCGCAAGATCAATGATTCAGTATCGCTGCATGTAGGGATACCCAAAGTAAAGCTCCCTCCGCATTTCCAGGACTCGCAATCCTTCACGAATGTAGCTTAAGCTTCACTAGATCCAGAACATTGCTCCTAGACGAAGGTGGGAAACATCCTGATCTGCACTTGCAAGTGCTCTTTCATACATTCCTCTGCCTCAGTCCGTGACCGTGTACGTCGGATTTCTCAGGTGTAAGGACTCGATAATCAATAGGCTACAGTAATAACCCTTTCTATGACATCGTTGGATACTTTCTCAAATTTTTAGAATGACTCAGTGAAAGAAAGGTTATGCTACAGGGTATCTTGGGGAAGCTAACCGAAGCACAGTCTGGGGTAAACGAGCTAGGGGTAGTAATGGTTTCCACCTTGGCTCCAAAATCACTGTCGCATCAAGAAGCGTCTCATTCGACTACCCAAAAGGGTCTGAACAGTCAAGGTGGTATTCTAGGGTACTTCGTAGTGTTAGCTCTCATTGTCTGTAACACACAGTGATACAAAATATCCATATAGATGTACATAGCAGATTCAATGAACCAGTGAATTCCAATGTGATGAGTTGTATATGCTTTTAAAACTTAGATACATCTCGAACTGGATGGTATAGCTTGAACAGAGATACCGGGGATATCAGAGAATGTGCCCTTACGTGCATAGTGATTAGTCGGTTCTAGGGACTCAATACATTCAATATGGGTCTGGGAAATATGTATGGTATACCTGGAGGAGGTAGATCGGTAAGGAATGTCCTCTTTGTGCGCTCAGACACCTGCCCCTGGAATGAAAAGCCATAGTAGGGGCTGCCTTCGAGTCAGAGAGCAGAGGAGATAGACGAAACTGAGCTCCTGGAAAGGTATAAAAGGGCCCTTCATCCTCCCAGTAGCTGTACCTTTTCATTATCATCAACAAGCCTCTCAAGTCACTCATTCAGACAATCTTCACTTTCATTCACTTTGCCAGCTCAATCGCTCGGTTATACCATCCTCCAACTTTCATTCAAGATGCAGCTCTCTACCTTCGCTACCATCCTTGGCCTCGTTTGTGCCGCCATTGCTGCCCCTCAGGGCCATGAGGGCGGCGATGACCACAGCCACGGCGGAGAACACCCCGCCGTCGAGCGCTTCTGCTGTGCCTACAACACCTACCCCCCTGGTGCTACCTACAAGCCCTCCGGCAGCCAGAACCCCATGGGATGTGCCAAGACGAACGGCGCATGCGGTGTTGACTTCCCCGTTCCCTGGACCTGCCCCGTTCCTCCGGCGATCGCGATTGGCAGGTAAGTCTTCCTTTGAAACTATCGCAATGCATAGTACAATACTAAAACCGTGCGCAGGCTTGCCAATGTACTTCGTCTACTGAGTGCCCCGGCACTCCTGAGCCCGACAGCATCTTCGACACCCTTGGCGACACCATCGCCAACGCCGTGCCCATCTAAATCTATCTCCGATAGATCTCCACAGTTACATGCCAGCAACTCTCCAGGCCGTGTCTTGATATGGGAAGGTGGACTCTGTGGTAAAACATCGTGCTTGCCAGCTTGGCTTATTTGGGTGTCTCTCGTTTATCTTACCCTTAACTCTGTTTCTTCAATCTGTATCCCTTCACGCAGATATCCACGAAGGGATGAAAAGGTTCTTAATACATAATAAAGCTTTTTTTACGGTCCACTTCGAACAGTTCTAAAACGTAATTTCGTCTTGTATAGTTTCCACTCTATGGAGTAAAGTAGACGCGACAAACTACCCTGGTACGGTAATCATCTACATCAAGGCTTTAAGCACTCCTTCGAGCCATACCACGCATATTATCGAGTACTTGTTGTAGTAACTAGTCCTCCTGGTTGCAGTTGTAAAGCCTACATAGAAGCTGGATACATGCCTGCGCGTCGGTGCTCATGCTAGCTCTCTGGTTTGGGTTATTGCTGAATGGATACATGCGCTTATAGAGAAGCCGCCCAAGCTATAGGATGAGCAAGCTTAAACCATTACTTTACATTGATTCTCATGCTTGAAGTTCTCTACAGCACACTTTGTAAAATAGACTCCTTCGAACTCGTCTCTAGTGTTACAGCTTGATATGGGGTCACGGGGTACCATACAATAGGTAAATGTAATTTGAATGTGATGAAATTATATATTTATATATTTATATATTTTTATATGTGCAAGCACCTCTCTAATCTTGTCTGGTACAAAGGACTTGTGTTTTGTCGTGATGTGAAACACTAGTGGGTAAGCAATATATATATATCATAAGGGATCGATATTCGATATAATCGAGACGTAGAAATGCTCTAACCTTTGATCATAGTCTACAATAATCTAGCGAATATCTAGTGTTCCAGATGTACTGTACTAGCTGTGCACACAAAGCCAAATTCCACTTCAACAGCAGATGAGTTGTACGTGATGATACTACATAATCTTGCTTTGATATATACCTTGATCCTATGTATATACAAGACTGACTTCACAAATCGAGCGTAACGTTCCCCAAAACCTGATCCTAATCTGTGATAGCAGTGACAGTATCCTATAACTACCAACAACAAGGTACACATGAGTCTGTGGTCAAAAATGGTCTTGTTATGTTTGACTATCCGCTACATATTCCCCGAGCATCTAGTCCTACCGCCAGGCCTTTCCAGTGACTTGGCGGTTGAGAGCCGCCATTCCTACAAGCATCGATTTCAAGGTATTGCACATAAAAGTCCTTCGCTTCCATTACCGCCAGAGACAAAAAGCCCACGAGCACACGAAGCAGTGTGTTCCTTCCGACGCGGTCATGCTCCGAGCTTCGTGTACACCAGCATACCATATCCACAACAGCAAGAGATCCAGGGACAATAACAGTTATGCTACATGGTTACCCAACAGTATCTTTCACATCTAAACGCAACGCTTTCTTGATTAAGATAGGTTGACATGTTACGGGATATTCTTCCGGACCTCGAATGTGTGCTGCAAGGGGTTCACAGATCAGCACTTGCCGACATTCTTGGTATTCTGAGCGAATCGGCGATACCACATGGGCTCGATCGAAGATCTAGGACCTGCAAGGGATACGAGATCTTTGCAAGCGAGGCGATAGCTGCAGCCCTTGCATTCTGGGGGAGGCTCAGCTCTCGGGGAAGCGCCGCATTCTCAAGCTAAATATTAACTACCAACCAACGTAGTAGATCTCACAATCAAGGGTCAGGAGATTATTTCCGACGACCAAGTCAGGAATTTGGGCAGTATCAATCATCCCTTGGACTCCTTTTCTGGGGGTCGGGAGTTAGCCCCCAACCCCGGCGTGGGCTGGGGGATGAGGCATCGATGGGAAGACTAGGCTCGTGGATTATGTATGAGGATTATCATGGTTGTGCTCAATCAGCACAAGTACTACTTCTACTATTCCACTAGATGGTGTCTAAAAGCCAATCTATTATACATGTCACCATGTTTTCTATGGTCAATACCTTCTGCGCTAGCTAATAAAGTCCAGTCCGACAATCACAGAAATCATGATCATGGCTTCGTCATAGCCGACACCGTGGGCATCGCATCATAAGTGGCCATCCTTCCCTGAGACAAGCCCGGTGAAGCTGAGAACACGGGAGGTAGCTAGGGAAAATGCCTGTAGCAGCAGAGCGCAGTGTGTGTAAAAGTGGCTGCCAGTGGTATCCCGCAACCTACGGCACCTTGTCCCCTTGACCGGTACCGTGTACCTCGGAAAGAAGCTTTGACGTATCTCTGATGTACTCATGGCTCTTGCTCAGACCCCGAGTTGGATGGTTGTAATGGGCAAACGCATGTGGCACACCCGCGTACCTTTTCATGGTTACTCGATTTCCTGCGTCACGAAGCAGCTGCCCATAGTGCTCAGCTTCATCCCTTTCTACATCAAACTCGGCCGTGACGATGTGTGCTGGGGCTAGTCCCTCCATAGAGGGCGAGAGAACGGGAGTCATTCTCCAATCTGAGAGGATCTCCGATCGGACGTCTTCGTCCGTGCCAATGTAGTAATTCAGGAACCAAGACTCTCGGGCGAGCGGGGACCACGGTAGATCGGAGCAGAATATGGCACTGGGATACGAACAACTTTCTGGGGTAAGGGGCTCAGCATCAGTTATAGACAGCGGTACGTACCGCATATCGGTCGCGGGCACCACCATCAGTTGAAGTTTCAGTTCGAGAGGGGGGGAGCAGTCGCGCGCGAAGTGGGCAACAACTGCTGTGATCAGTCCACCCGAGGACAGTCCCCCAATTGAGATTGAGTTGGGATCAATGTTGAGGGCGCGCGCGTTTGTGTGTGCCCATTGCACCGCGGCCCAACAGTCATACAGCGCAACAGGATATTGATGTTCTGGCGCGAGGCGATAATCCACATCGATGACAATGATAGATGACTCATTGCAGATGCTACGACACCAAGCAGCTTCAGATTGCAGGCCTCCAAGTACCCAGCCGCCTCCATGAAAGTTAACGTGTACTGGGAATGGACCCAGCCCAGGGGGTGTATATACCCGGCAGGTGATCGATCCTTCGGGATTTGAGACGGGGACTTGATAATCTTGAAGATGATGTACTTCGGGGCCTGTAGAAGGAAGTCAAGGCACGTTAAATACACCCTTCGACATAAAACTATGGACAGAACTGACCTGTCCAAGTTGGGTAGGTAAAGCTGTATCTTTCAGGGCACTGCCGAAATTGTTCGATAGTCACCAAGTGAGCCCCTTCCATGTCCCTTCCGTACCTTGTCCACATCTCCTGCCATTCGACATCTAGTCCTTCTAGGTACTTTTCCGGTATCACGTTCTCTTCCCTCCCTCCAGAGCTATGGACTGTGATCATCCGTTCCACTTTCGTGATTGTAGCCATCGTGCGGACGTGAACTCGAATCGATTAGCAAGGTTGCAAAGGAATAGTCTCCTAGGTGGCGATATATTCTCACAAATTTGTTTCTGTCACTACGCAGAGTTATCTTCCACTGGCAGCTTCATCAACCAGTATCCTATGGACAGGATTTAGTAGATATAGTGGACCGGCACCGGCATCGCTTTCAATTGGTGGCATCGAAATCCACTTCGATAGGAACGTCGCGATCGGCATCCACAACCTCGTATCGCTTCCCCGCAAAACGCCTTATCAGGAACCGGAGATAAGAGGTGTGGGGAGACTATAAACGGAACAGCACCAGACGGATTCAAAGATGTCTCGACCGTCCCGGCTAAGACTTTCATGCACAGCATCACACTAATCATGCCGGAAAGCACAGGAACTCCAGATGCCCCGGATCACCAAATCCTGCCAACGGGGACTCACTCAGATACACCGAAGCCTCTTCAAGCAGGCCAGGCATATGAACCAGGTTTGCGTCGGGTGCCTGACCGTATTCCTTGGGTTGTCGCACTCATCATCGTTGTCGAGCTTGGGGAGCGATTCACCTACTTTGGTCTTAGCGGACCATTGCAGAACTACATCAAGTATGTTGTTTCGCTACCTCGGGCTGTCCTTAACCGCTAATCATAGTGGTAGAAATCCGTACGTCCCTGGTGCGGAACTACCAGGTGCTCTTGGTAAGGGACAGGCAGTTGCATCTGCTCTAGGTAACTTCTTCAAGTTTTGGGCGTATGCCTCCACCATCCTGGGGGCTGTAGTAGCTGGTAAGGACAGGCTATATTGCGTACATGAAAGGTCCCTTGTCCACTGACTCATTCTCTGCCTCACCACATAGATCAGTACGTCGGCAAGTTTAAGGCTATAGTTATAGCCTCTGGGGTTTATATCGTCGGCTTGACTATCCTTGTAGCAACGGCGACCCCAGCAGCTATCAATGGCGGATCAGCATTTGGTGGGCTCGTTGCCTCGATGGTTATCATTGGACTGGGAACCGGTGGAATCAAAGCAAATGTCACCCCTTTCTGTGCCGAACAGTATAACAGAGGCAGTGCTTTTGTCAAGACACTGAAGTCAGGAGAACGTGTTGTTGTCGACCCTGAGCTCACCGTGGAGCGAATGTTCATGTGGTATGTGCCTTGTTTCTGTCACCAGTGCCGCACAATATTAATGCACTAATTTTCAGGTTCTACTGGGCCGTCAATATCGGAGCCCTATCGCCATTGATCACTGTCAACGTGGAGGCCAAGGTGTCCTTCTGGCTAGCCTTCCTGATACCTTTGATGTTAGTGAATGTACATGTATTACTGGTGGTTCATCTAGATTTGACTGATATTGGACCGCAGTGTGATTGTCCTTGCTGCCATCGTCTTCATATGCAGCAGCAAATTGTATGTCAAGACCCGACCACAAGGTTCACCAATTGTCGAAACCGCTAGAACGGTATATGTTGCTATATCAGAAAGAGGTTTCGAGAACGCAAAGCCAAGTTCTCTGAGCGAACGGGGTCGGCTAGCGAAATACTCCATTGCATCCAGCGCCAACTATACCGATCAAAGTGTTGACGGGGTTAAGAAGGGCATCAGGGCCTGCAAAGTAAAGACCCACGCTATTGGCTGCAATTATCAATTTCTGACCGTGACAAACAGCTATTCCTCCTCTTCCCGTTTTATTTCATTTGTTGGGTTCAGATCTGGAATAACCTTATATCTCAGGCCGGTCAAATGGCTCTGCACGGCACTCCGAACGATCTGCTACAAAACCTCGACCCTATTGCCTTGATTATCTTCATTCCGTTCCTCGATCGTAAGTGCAACCACGTCTACTCACATGGCAGCGGCCTAACACGAGATCAGTCGTGGTCTACCCAGCGTTGCGTCACTTCAAGATCGATTTCCGACCAGAGTTGAAGATTACTGTCGGGTTCTTCATGGCTTCTATGTCGATGGTGTACGCCAGTGTTCTCCAACACTACATCTACATCTCCCCTGCGCAGACCATTCACGTTTGGGTCCAGACACCTGCATACGTTCTCGTCGCCTTTTCAGAGGCTTTCGTTGTGGTGACTGGCTTGGAGATCGCATATACCAGTGCGCCCGAAAGGTATGGTAACCTTGCGACTATCCGGTTAGCACACTAACTAATTCTCGATGCCAATAGTTTGCGCTCCCTGGTTTCTTCTCTGTTCTGGTTGACTATCGGCGTAGCGGCGGCCATTTGTATCGGACTCGCCCCGGTTTCACAGGATCCCTATTTAGTTTGGATGTATGGATCGCTAGCTATTGTAGGTTTTGTAGCGGGAATCCTCTTCTATGTACTCTTCGGAAGGGCTTCGAATCAGCCAGTTCCGGTGTTGGATTCGGTGGAGACCACCACTGTGGGCCAGCGGGAAGACGAAGAGGCGCAAGTTGGGAGTGGGAAATGTATGGTGGTCACCGGGAAAGATACATAGTCGATAGCTCCTTAGTCCTTAGGCTATGATGAATATTGTTTTCCTGGTTCAAGTCTCGTCCTCGTGTGCACTTTGTCATAAATTCCCCCTTGTTAACTCCAACGCTCAATCATCGACTATCTTGCCTTCACCTTATCATGCTGATAGGGTCAATTAGTCTCCACTCAAGGCTCCACAAGAATGCCGCCAATCGGAGAACGGCTGGATACCCCCTTGGTGTGACACTGTCTATTCTGACAGTGGTTTATATAGGCCAGCATGATGTGTTAGACACCGTCAAGCACCAGGAGTCAATTAAAGATGGCGCATAACGATATTGTGGTGCTCGGGTAAGAACATACAGGAGGCCTATTGACGCAATGTTCTCTAACATTAGCCATCCAGAGCGGGTATCATCGGCTTGAACGTTGCCTTGGAGTTATCGAAACGTGGCTATGGGCAGCATATCACAGTCATGGCGGAACATCTTCCCGGAGATGAATCAATTGATTACACCTCCCCTTGGTGCGCAGACATGGTTCCAATCTACATTCGATATAACGTATCCTGACGCCCCTGCGCTTTAGGGCTGGAGCGAATTTCTCTGGCATATCGGGCAGCGATGCCAATGCACTGCGCTGGGATCGATCTGGCTACTTGGCCATGATGAGACTGATTGATACCGGCGCGGAAGAAGCAAAGTATCTTTCCAAAACCGAGTCAACAGAGTACTGGGATCAAGCCCCATCACAGGACAAGATCATCAGCATGACTGAGTATCTGCACGATGTAAGGCTGCCCATGGCATAAATCATCATTGTGACATATAAACACAGTCACCAGCCAACTGTACTAACCTTTCGGGTTTTAACTGATAGCTTGTCATAATACCTCCATCCGACCTCCCTAAGGGAGTTGCCTTCGGTATAAGATTCACTACAGTCACACTCAACGCGCCTGCACATTGTGAATATTTGAAATACCTCCTATCTCAACCTCGGTACGGTGGTATAAAATTTGTCCGCCGGAAGGTATCAAGCTTGCAGGATGCCTTCCTGTACGGAACACAAATCGTCTTCAACTGCATCGGCAACGCAGCATCCAGTTTAGCGGGAGTTGCCGACTTGAAATGTTATCCCACACGTGGTCAGATTATCCTTGTAAAGGCCCCGTCAGTGAGAGTCAATGTCATGCGGCATGGCAAAGACTACGAGACATATATCATCCCGCGACCCCGCTCAGATGGCACTGTGATATTAGGTGGCTACCTACAACCTGGGGACCAAACTAGGCAGACCCGACCAGTAGAGACAGAATCTATTCTGAGTCGCACAGAGGGCCTCCTACCGATCCTCAAAAATGGAGAAACAGAAATCCTTCATGTTGCGGTGGGATTGCGGCCATCGCGGCAAGGCGGTGCTCGAGTGGAGCTCGAAACCACGCCAGAGGGCCACACTGTAGTACACAACTATGGCGCAGGAGGGACTGGATTTCAGGCCGGGATGGGAATGGCCAAGGATGCGGTTGATTTGGCTTCAGACATCCTCAGCCAGCTTCGAGCCAGAGTAGATTATGACAGCGGATAATGCACAACATGTGAATGACAGATGTATAAGTGATTAATGCATTAGTATTGAGGAAGACTCGAAGCCAACCACCTTCCTCCTTAGACTCAAGGCCCCTGTAGGCACGTGACTATACTCATCCAAATTCGGTATAACTTCTTGACACCCGTGACCCGTCTCAAAGAGGTGGTTGATTGATTCTCTCTCTTCTCTTTCATCACGAATTTTAATACCACTAGCTTAGATACATGGACAATGACACGCTTACTAGAAGACCCCCATATTCCGGGACAGGGCCTCGTAGGTACATGAGCAAAGCCCAACGCGCATGCGACCTTTGTCGCTCGCGGAAATCGGCGTGCCAGATCGACATAGCTCCCCCTTGCCGTCTATGCAGGGTTCATGGACAACCTTGCGAATTCACCGACCGCATAGTCCGTAAGAAGAGGCGCTCGTTACAGAATACTTCCTGCCTGTCACAAGGCGCTTCCAACGGTGAAAATGCTTCTAGTGATAGGCGAACGAATGAGTCACCGGACTTTACAAGCTTGGTACAGCCGACGGATTCAAGAGCCATGCCTATGACGGAAGGCCCTCTGTATGACAATGCTTCAAGGGTTGGTGAGCAGTTATATGACGACTTTAGCTTGATACAGGGACTTGAAGATCCACATGCCTCTGATCTAGGTGGAGGAGATCATGGTATTATGGATGAGCTGATGCTCAGTATTTATGAGGGGCAGGGATTGTCTCATATAGAGCCGAATCCTGCTCCGGGTCCTCCGTCTCTCGACAACCACCAATCTTTGACTTCTCAGTTATGTGGTCTTACCGGTGATATGGATCCCTATGTTCTCCGACACTATCGCTTCGACGCAAGGGCAGAGTTTCCATTCTCCAAGCTTGCTATACGGTCAGCACAAGATGTAGAGGTGCCAGTGCAATTTTTGTTGTCGAAGCCCGAGTTGAGCTATGAATCAAAGGCCATAACTAGCCTGGAAGGACCATTTACCAGGGAGGGGTTGCCCGAACTATCACAGATTGTTACCCCAGATATTGGGGAACGATTGATCCAATTGTGAGTTGGCTGAGTTCGGACCAGCATATCATTGCGACTGACGGACCATCAGGTTTTCACGTTTCGTTAACCGGCAGTTTCCTATCTTTTCTGAGGATAGGCTGCCAGAGCCCCGAGCCACGTCATCACATCTCCTAGCGGCGATATACTTGATTGCTCAGCCTTTTACGACGTTTGATGATTACTTATGTATCGAGTTCGTATACAGTCCTCCGTCGCCACAGGTCTTATTTAGGATCGCGTGGAGCGAACTCAATAATGCCTTATCCCAACCTACTATTCAGTCTTTGCAAGCAGCGCTCATTCTCCTATTACACCCGCCTTTAAATCCTTTATTGCTTGACAGTACAGTCAAGTGGACGCTTCTCGGTATGACTGTCTCGATGGCACAAACACTCGGGCTGCATCTGGATCCTACTATGTGGAACTTACCATCAAATGAGATCCGTACCCGTCGTCGTTTATCGTGGGTGGTATTTGCTCTAGACAAGTGGTTTGCTTTTAGCTTTGGCAGACCAAGCCACATCTCAAGAAATGATTGGCTCATCACTGAATTGCATCCGAGTGACATTGATTCGGAAGACCGTACCTGTGGTTCTCATTTGTATACACTTGAGTTCTCAAAGCTCACCACAATACTGGATAATGTCCTAACAAGTCTTTAGTAAGTGAGGACCTTGGGAAGAGCTTGAAGGATCCCAGCACCTCAACCCCTATATACCACGCGAACTGACATATTTGCAGTTCGATACGTTCACTGTCCGCTCTCTCCAAGGACTTTCGTTTGACAATTTCTACCGCTCGTCCTCTTATGCAAGACCTCACAACATGGCATACTAGCCTACCCTTATCCTTAGCCATGGAATCGACGCCTGAGTGTAAACAAACATTAGATGATTCAGCATCTCTCCAAATCGCCTATCAATCCGTAAAGGTCCTAATCCTCCGCGCACTACTCCGCCCCTTCAACAATGTGGATCATCATTCCTCCGAGCTAGAGCAAAATGAAGAGTGGCACACCGCACGATCGCAGATTCGTAAGACAGCGTCAGCCGAGGCAGATGCGGCCCTGAGCATTATATCGAACCTACGACCAGCACACTACCAGACATTCTGGGCACCTTGTATGTGTGACATAAAGAACCTTAAGACGGCAGTCTACTGACAAGAGAAGGGTTGAAAACATCATTTGCCTGTATAATGAACCTTCTATTCCTGCTAACAGTTATCGCTCACGAACCATGTTCTGAAGGCACGGATTCTGGGGAAGAATACAGGCAGCAAAGGGAGATCCTTGATCGGGCGAGAACGGTATTTCGTTTGCATGCGAAAAGCCTCGATACCATTCGATTTGCCCTTTTACGTATCGATGCGGTGTTTTGGATCGGATGGGAGAGGGTCTTGGGCTTCCCTTGAGCACTTTGAAACTACCATGGCAAACAGAATCATGGCAGTGGCCAGTGGATTCCGGCAGAGGCATAAAGCTAGTCAATATTGCACCTCTCATAATGCGGGACTCGTTCCTAGACCCTCAGAAGAGAAGTTTTTTGCAATACTCCGATAACACAGATGCCTTTGGTTGAGATCAGTGCCTCGATAGGCGGCTTAACAGGGAGCTCTCCCAAACCATCATGGTTTTAAAATCATGGATGGACACGATGGATCCGATGAATGAGCCGGCTGTACTAATGGGCAAGGCAGACATTCATAAACGCTAAGTATGAGCCCAAACCCGGTCAGACGAGTCTCGCTCTTTGATGAGAGTGGATATTACTTCCATCTCATAGGAGGGCAGTGACACCACGGATCAGATTGAACTTGTCCGCCAGGCTACCCCAGGCGGTTCTCCAGGGCTCTCCGAAGACCCGTGGTAGTGTGTATTCCTCCTCCCAGATGGGTCAGGCTCTGCCAGGTCCTACGATTGGATTCCTCGAATCGATGAAAACACTTGTGTCATTGCGCTCAACTCTCCATACGTCAGGGGCCCCTCGAAGCTCTCGCATTGATCACTTAGCGACTTTATCGAGGGATCTGATCGAACTACGTCGACGTCAGTCAAGTGGCCCCTGTCACCTCGGTGGGTGGTCAGCTGGTGGGACTCTCGCCCATCGACTTGGACAGATACTCAGTGACGAATTTGAAGAGGTTCGCAGCCATATCATCATTGGCTCCTGGGTTGATTGCCACAGTACTTCTACTAAATGTGCGATTCGCTCAATATTTTTCGACAAATTGGGTATAAGTTCTGCTATGGCGGATGACAAGAGACATGCCGCAAAGAAGCCTGAATGGCTGATTCCGCACTTCAATGGGGTCATCAATATGATTACTGGGCCTAATCCCTCATGAACTATCAATGCCCCAAAGGGTCGCTCATCTGGGCCTGCGATAGTATTATGGACGATGCAAATTTTTCACCTTTGATATCTCATAAGAATGATACAGAAGGAATGAAGTGTTTGCCAAAAGAGTGGACATTTTTGGCAATGGAGTATCACGAAAAACCCAGGCGTGGGAATAGAAGGAAACTATGGCAAGCCTCGTACTTTTAACATGGGAGTATACCAGAGCTTCTCTGATATATTTCCATGTTGGTTAGGTTTAGAATCAACGAAAGGCAGCGGAGTCGAGGGATCCTCGCCGCCATAGGTGAACAGACTGTCAGATTCAAGCTACATAAGAGAAAGCCCTTCATCACCAGTCTGCTTGATACCTTCAATTAGCGCTTTTCTCGTTTTCAACCCTTCAATCACGTAGTCATATAGCATTCATCTTCCCGTTGTTTCCACAGGTTGAAGTTCGCGTCGGATTGTGCGATATACAAGCTTCGTCCTGGTATGCTACATATCATGGTCGATGTATCGCGTCGGAGACTCTGTTACTTCCAGGCATGCAACTGCAGTACAAGTCATCGACGTGATCAGATCATCCCTCTGAGACGAGGCTATCCTGGAGCTTGAATTATGACGGAGCTCCTATCCAAAGCAGCATAATTTATTGTGTTGTACGCACTGTTGGCCGCGGTGGCATCCTCGGATTCTGAATGGGTAAGTGAAGACAGGAATGGATGGATGTAAATAGCCGCCGTCACCCGTGCTGTTTGCTTTGTTTGCCCCATCTTCAATCGACCTCTTCGTAATACACGTCAGCTAACTAGTATGTAACCATGATCGGGGTACGATCAAGGGTGTATAGGAAAGGGCATACTTAAATAGATATATACAGATTTCTGTAATTCACATCAGCGCAGCATTTCTATAATTAATAGTAAGTCCACCTGTAAGCCTGTTCGGCTTTTGAACTAAAGGACATTTTGTCATGTATGTACATGTGCATACGTACAAAACATATAAATATATCTCACCCATGCTCAACGCTGGATATCCCCGCTGGCGAAGACCAGATCTTTGCCTCGGTACTACAAATAAACTCCAACTCGTATGAATATATGATCCATAAGAACTACCCTAACTACTTTCAACTTGGTTATCGTGGAGGTACAGGGCATACCTTGAAGACTAGTCGTATTCACGTCGGTCAAATCACGTGCTACGTGTCAAAGCCTTACCAGTGCCAAGTTAATTGAAGTAAAACCTATTCATGTAAGACCTCTTCCGAAGTCACTGATGCTATTGTTTGATCCTATTGTCTACTAGGGGGGGCTTTGGAGAGTGAAACACTAATTATAATTGAGACATGTTGCACTGCCAGTCCAGCGCCCCTTGGCGGGTCAATTCAATCCGGGGCTCCGAGAGGGATAGCAAGGGAATGCTGAATTTCCGACATCCGCGAGACTGTACATTTCATGGATCAAGGTTGACAGAGCGCGGAATGTCAGACTGTCAGACAAAGGAAAGGCAAAATTCCATAACCTTACACAGACCAAAAGTGAGACGAGTTGTCCTGTGGTCCGGTTGTACCGTATGGTAAATGTGAATGGTTCTAGATGGCGTGATGGACGGGAGCGGTGCGTCACAATCGACGCACGCTAATCCCGATGGGGTTTCGCCCTTGCGCCGCCCAGGAGCGCCTGAGGCCAGCACCAGTCAATTCTTCTGCCTTCCATCAATAATTAATTTGATTCATTCAAAGCCGAAATGCTAATAATATCGAAGACGCACACACACATATTCGCCTGTTGTACTCCGTTCTCCTGCCCCTTTTTCCTTTCAGATTTCCCTCCGTTGCTGATTTCTCTTTGTTTTATTTTCCCTTTCTATCTTCCACCTCTTTCTGTCATTTCTATAGAAAATTTCCGACGTGCGTACCCGTAAGCAAATGATCGATCTCCCCCGTCATCTCCACCCGCAGCCATCAGACTCGAAAAGCTGGAACTGAGTGGTGCTCACGCTAAACCTCATTCGGTCGTGTGTCTTTTCCACCTCTGTTGCGCTCCTCCACTCGTCCCTGTGTTCCTTTCTTTCCCACCCAGCCTTCTCTCCTTCATATCACCACCACAGACTGATGACCTGTTGGGTATCATCTTGTCGACGTCGATATATTCACAACGCCTTATCGTTCCCACATTGTAGTCCTTCAGGATGCGGTGGCGGCTGCCTGGCGCCCGATCGACTCCCGCCAGCGTCGCTCTCCTTCTACTCCCTGTTCTTGTTGCTCCGCAGCAGCAGCCGGAACATTATGACCTTCCTTCCACCTTGTCGGTCCCCTTAGGGTCGACCGGCCATGCTGTTGGAAAAGATTTGCATACTCCATTGAACGTGAAATCCACCGATGCGAGCGCCCTAGCAACTATGGCTCTGGCGGGCCCCGGCCGCGCCGTTCGAGCCCCTCCTGCCCAGGTCAGCAGTCCGTCTGCTGGCCTGTCTACGCCGCTTAACGCGCGATCTCTGCAGGATTGGGAGGTTGAGGACTTTGTCCTACTGGCGACCGTCGATGGGTCCATTCACGCTCGAGACCGCAAGACAGGCACGGCCCGTTGGGCCCTGGAAGTGCCGAGTAGTCCCATGGTCGAAAGCATCTATCATCGAGCAAATCGATCCAGTTTTGACCGGACTCAACCGGAAGATGACTTCATATGGATCGTGGAACCGAGTCAAGATGGGAGCCTTTTCATATACAGTCCGGGACCGGACGCAGGGTTACAGAGGTTGGGATTGACGGTGAAAGACCTGGTGGATAAGACACCGTATTCCGGAACGGACCCCGCCGTTACGTATACCGCACGAAAGGAGACCACCCTCTATACAATTGACGCCCGTACCGGTACGATTTTACGCGTGTTCAGTTCCAGAGGCCCAATCCCCTCGGGACAGGAGTGTCGGAAAGTTGACGGACTCGACATGGACTCGGATGACTGCGAATCCCCGTCCGGCACCCTGGTTCTAGGCCGGATTGAATATGCTGTCGCTATTCAGAATACCGAAACCGGCGATCCGATCTGTACCCTGAAATATTCGGAATGGGCGGGGAACAATCGTGACCTAGACCTCCAGGATCAGTACTACCGAACCATGGATGAGAGTCACATATATAGCATGCATGATGGAGTCGTGTTGGGCTTTGACCATTCTCGGATGGAACGACCGCGTTATACCCAACGATTTTCCACACCAGTTGCTCGGGTTTTTGATATCATTCGCCCGACCAATCTCGACTCACCTGACGCACCCACGCCTTTGGTGCTCCTCTCGCAGCCTCTGCAGCCTCCTGACCCCGATTACGGCTCCTTGGATGATCGGGATACCCGTGTGTATATCGATAGCACTGAGGCGGGGGGTTGGTATGCCATGTCGGAGGAGACATACCCGTTGGTCACTGGGCGGGCCAAGATGGCACAATGCTACGAGAAGGATTACTTCCGTTATGGACAAGCGCTCATGAGCCTGACACCCAGTCAACAACGAGACGCGTTGGCTGGCGTGCACTCGCTTAGTGGCCCTCGTTATGTTCGTCACATCCCCAGCCTATCTGGATCGTCGAGAACGGAGCTGTCCAATGGTACTCCCCAGGACTTAGCCCGTAGTCACTCAGAACTAGCCCTTCCTCCGGCATTGCGACATAGTACAATCATCCGAAAGGGTTGGGATAACGCCGTCGACATCTTTGTGACGTTAATATTGTTGTTCTTCGGGGCCTTCATCTATCTCAACTCTCATAATATTCAGGAACTAGCCAAACAGAAGTTGGATATAAAGAACATCATTTCGTCGTACCAGCCACCCCTGTCCACACCGTCAACTCCAGTGGTTGGCGCGCAACTCGAACGAGATTCTAGTTCTGCTCGACCAGTGCCCAATGTAACGGTTGATGTCAGTGTTCCGGAAGACCAACAGCAGCGCGGGGACGTAACCCCCAAACCAAAGAAAGACCGCAATGCCCTCGGTCCTGATAGCACGCCACGAGTACGCATCCGAGAGCCCTCTCGAGGCCCCGATGGCGACGAGGACGTGGATGAGGTGGCTCTCGACGGCGCGGAGAAGCCCAAAAAGAAAGCTCGCCGTGGCCGTCGTGGAGGCAAGGCGCACAAGCGGGGCAAAAAGCCGGACTCCGAAGGTGACTCTCAAACCGATCGGGTCGTCAATGACGTGAACAATTTGCAGTCCAAATCCCGTTTAGAGCCTGATGTGCAGATGGTCCGTACAGTGTCGAACGAGATCATGGAGATGGATGGCGTTCTCCAGATTGGCCGATTGAGGGTCTTTACTGATGTCGTCCTGGGACATGGAAGCCATGGAACTGTCGTCTACCGAGGTTCGTTTGATGGACGTGACGTCGCGGTGAAGCGTATGCTCGTGGAATTTTACGACATAGCGTCTCATGAGGTTGGCTTGTTACAAGAGAGTGACGACCATGCGAACGTCATTCGTTACTATTGCCGGGAACAGGCGACCGGTTTTCTATACATAGCGCTCGAGTTATGTCCGGCTTCTCTGCAAGATGTGGTGGAGCGCCCTTCGGACTACCCACAATTGGTCCAGGGTGGACTGGATGTGAACATGCCTGATATTCTGCGTCAGATAATCTGCGGTGTTCGGTATCTGCATTCCCTCAAGATTGTCCACCGTGATTTGAAACCACAAAATATCCTCGTAGCCATGCCCAGAGGACGTGCCGGAGCGCGCTCCTTGCGTCTTCTCATCTCCGATTTTGGCTTGTGCAAGAAATTAGAAGATAATCAAAGCTCTTTCCGAGCCACCACGGCACATGCCGCGGGAACATCTGGCTGGCGTGCCCCTGAACTCCTAGTGGATGATGACAAGAGCTCGGCAATCCTAAGCACCGAGTCCCAGCACACCGAGTCCTCGGAACCGGCCGTTGTCGACCCCCAAACCAACCGACGAGCCACCCGTGCTATCGACATCTTTTCTCTGGGTTGTGTGTTCTATTATGTTCTGACCAGGGGCAGCCACCCATTTGATAAAAATGGCAAGTTCATGCGCGAGGCCAACATTGTTAAAGGCAACTACAATCTCGATGAACTGGAGCGCTTGGGTGATTATGCATTCGAAGCGCGCGATCTCATCCAGTCGATGTTGTCACTTGATCCCCGGAAACGGTAAGACTTTCCTCATAATGTATAATATCAGCATGCTAATACTGCCCAGACCCGACGCCAGCTCCGTCTTGACGCATCCATTCTTCTGGAATCCATCTGATCGTCTCACCTTCCTCTGCGATGTATCAGACCATTTTGAGTTCGAACCGCGTGATCCTCCGTCCGAAGCTCTCCTGTGTCTAGAATCCGTCGCTTCACGCGTCATGGGCCCTGAGATGGACTTCTTACGCCAGCTGCCCACTTCCTTCAAAGATAACCTGGGCAAGCAGCGCAAGTACACAGGGTCAAAGATGCTCGACCTCCTCCGGGCACTCCGTAACAAGTGCCATCACTACAATGACATGCCAGAGCATCTCAAGGCCCATATTGGTGGCCTGCCCGAAGGATACTTGAGTTTCTGGACCGTCAGGTTCCCGAGCTTACTCATGAGCTGTCACTCTGTGATTGTCGACCTCAAGTTGACACGGATCGACCGCTTCAAGCGATACTTTACCGTACCGGAGTAAATGATTGGTTTGATCATTGCACATACTGGCATCTGAAATTTAGATGATCTTATGATTCTCTTGTTGTGTTATTATATAGATTGACACTGTTTTTGCATCATACAATATACATTTCGGTTATACTAGAACATTTGAAATATTCTTAGTTTTATTACAACAAGCAAAAATCATGAAATGTTCCATCAATTCATACCAACTATCAAGTACTAAGCATGCTCAGATTCAATTAGATACACTACTCATCGTCCAGCATACAACGACCTGCATCCAAGAAAGAAACAAATTATACAATGACAGACTGCAAAAGAACACAAAGAACAGCAAGAAAGGAAGCCAGAAAAACTCACTTCCGCGGTAAAGCGGTCCTTAACTTCCCTACACTCCCAGTGGACAAGATATCCCCGGCATCCGCGCCGCTATCACTCTCGCTCTCGCTCTCGCTCTCATCCTCATCCTCGGACTCAGTATCCGACGGGCCCGAGAAGATATCCTTGTGCGGCTGGCTCTTCCGTTTCGCCGCCTCCTCCTCTTTCTTCAAGCGCGCCTGCGCCTGCTCTGCGCGTTGTTGGAAGAGGAGGGTTTTGAGGGTATTGCGGGCTGGTCGGGAGGCAGTGGGGGTCGATTGGGTGGAGCTTGGTTGTGGCTGGCTGCTGGAGGGTGGGTTCGGCTGGGATGAAGGGGGATTGAGACTTGTGCGACGGAGAATATTGGCTTTTGTTGTTGGGGTTGGTTTGGGGAGAGTCTGGTTTTCCTTGTCGGATTCTTTGTCGGATTCTTCGTCTGATTCGCTTTCGTCCGTGTCGGAGTCGGTTTCTTCGGCGGCTGGGTCGGGTTTGGAGGGTGTTTCTGTTGGTGCTGGGTTGGGTGCGGTCGGGGTTGTGGTTTCTTGCTCGCGCTCTTCTTCTGTTTCTGGGACTATATCGTTTTCTTGTGGTTTTGGTGCTTGAACTGTTTCCCCTTCTTTTTCGGGTTTGTTGTTGTCTTCATTTTGGCTTTCTTCCGCTGTGGACTTGTCTTTCTCTTCCTCTTTCTCTGCCATTTCCTCTGCGTCTTCCTCTTCTTCTTCCTCCTCTTCGTCGGAGCCGGATTGCTCTTCTGAGTCCGAGCCCGGCTCAGGCACAGGCGCGGGTACAGATACCTCAACCGCGGGAGACGATTTAGTCAAGGGGTCAGGCTGGTTTGGTGCTGCATCGTCCCCCTCTTCCTCAGAGCTGGAATCCTCCTCCGACACGGACTCTGCAGGTGAAGATGGTGGCTTCTCTGAGGATGGTTTCTTGGGTTCCGGCTGTTTTGGGGTGCTTTCCTCTTCTTCGGACTCGGACTGTTCTGACTCGGATTCAGAGAGTGGAGATGGTGGTCTCTCCTGGGATGGCTTCTTGGGCTCTGGCCGTATTTCTGGAGTACTATCAGCCTTAGGCGTGGGGATTTCGACGCTCCAATGTCTTTGGCCTTGGGCTTGTTCGCGTTCTGGAGACTTGCGACTGATCTGTGAAGAGGGAAGGCTCTTCGGAATAAGCTTCTTGGAGTTCGGTCTTGGTGTTACGATTTCAACGTCCCAGTGCGCTTCGGATTTTCGATTCTGCGAACTGGTAGGATCTCGGGATAGCTTTCTTGTACCTGGAGTACCATTCGGTGTCTGGGACTTGGGGCGTTGCGAGGGTGGCTTGTTAAACTCCTTGAGCTCGATAACCTCCCGGTGCAGCGCCTTGAGATCGTTATGCGCGTTACTGAACCTCTCTCGCTGTCTTTTCCGGTTGGAGTTCTCGTTGTTCTTCATAATCTGCCATTTCTTTGAGGCCCACTTCAGTTTGCGAGTGTATTCAGACTTCGGATCCAGGTCGTTTGCTTGGAGTTCCTTTTCGTACTCGTTTATCTCCGTGTTTATTGCCGTGCTAAACTCCTCTTCCGACTGGTCCTCTTCTCCATCTGATCGTTCTTCTGGCTCTGGTGGAGCTGGCTTAGAGCTAGAGCTGGTCCCATTCTTCTGGTGCTTATTGGTGGCCTGGAGAGTTGACTTTGTAGCATGGACGGAGGTAGGAATGGCATAGTCTTCTCCTTCGGCGAAGGATACGGATCGGCGTTCGGGGGACCGTTCGACGGGTGAGTCTTTACGGAGAGCCGATTGGAGTAGTCTGACTTTGTCTGCCGGCGTTTGTAACTTGGCCGGGGTCGAGGGGTGCTGGTCAACCGAGCTGCGACGGATCACAGGTGCGCTGCTTGCGTCTTTCGGAACGGACTCGGATTGTGTAGAATCTTTAGAGAGATCAGCCATCAGGAATTGTTTCTTGCGAGGAGGACTCTTCGTAATACCCAGACCAAGGCCATGCGACAAGGCCGGTCTCTCTGTAAAGCTCAAACGTCGACCAAGCCCAGAGAAGGACGGCGCTCTATCAGCGTTGCGCTTGCGCGTGCCCAACGGACTGCTAACCGGGGTCCCATTGACGTTGTCGCCGTCGGCCTCAGTCGCCTGGCTCGACTGTTGCAAACGGGGTTGTTTTTTCGGCTCGAGCTCCTCGGGGCTCATCTTTCTCTTGAGCACTCGTGTTTCGGGCAGGCTATCCTCCATGCGGACGTCGTTGTCTGCGGCCGGCTCTTCACTCTCACCTTCATCCTCGTCTTCCTCGCTCCCGCTCTCGCTCTCATCCCCACTTTCCTCCTCTTCGCTCTCATCAGTTTCACTTTCTCCGTCGTCCTCACCACCCACCACAACAGCCTTCGCATTGATCAATTTCGCCTTCTTCTTGTCAATTTCACTCTCCTCTTCCTCTTCCTCTTCCTCACTCTCACTCTCAGTTTCAGTTTCAGTCTCAGTCTCACTCTCCCTCGCCTCCTCAATCGTCTCAAACTTCCCCGTAAATTTCTCCTCCCGACCTACCCCCCAATCCTGATCCACAGAAGGAAACCGAACAGGCGCATACGGCGCAGGCCTCTGCACCACCCTGACCGTGCCGACCTGATCATCCTCATTGCGCCTCGCACGCGCCTGATTGACCCACACATCGGCCACCGTCATGTCGACATCCAAATCGACCGTGTCGCGACTATCGTCCAGCAACTTCTTGATATCGAGGGGCTCGGCATTGGGACGGAGCTTGGTCCATTTCGAGCGGATCAGGCCGGCGAGCTGGCCGAGGGTGATTGCTTCTGGGTTGGGGATCGCGAGGAGGAAGGACGCGGGCTTGGTTTCGGGTTCGGTTGGTTTCCTCTTTGGGGTCGGGAATGGGCGCGAGAGTTGTTCGCGCGGGTAGACTTTTACGATTAGGCGGATGAAGACCATTTTGATTTCCCCCCCCTCTTTTTCTCTCCCTTGTTTGTTCGTCAGTTCCGGGGGCGTTGGTGCGGTTGGGAGGGAGATTGGGCTTGGAATCGGTTGTTGTCGTTGAGATTGGACGTCCAAATCGATGAGGTGAAAAAAGTTGGTAACACGGATCGGACGCCCGAGGTGGACCGGCGATTGAGTTCTCTGGTGTGGTGTTGGGTACAGAATTCTCAGTGTTGGTAATCGATGGCCCTTGGGATTGTGTTACTGGAGACTTTTCACTTCGCAGGGCGGGTCCTTCCTCCCCGGGAGAGAATGGTGAAGAGTGTTTGCAGAAGGAAAATCGGATGCACGGGAGAGAGTTTGAGCTCCCGATTTTCTAGTGTTTGGTTGGCGGACACCGCCCTGCCCGGGGGACGGTTCGGCCCTTGGGGCCGGGGCTAGTGGCGGCTGGGGAGTGAACGTTTTCACGCGGGCTTTGACTAGGTTCTTGGTTGTTCTGATTGGTTATTCTGGGACATATACGATGGGCCTGTTTGTGGCTGTTATTGTATCAAAACCCGTCACTGAATTCCTAGATATGGTGGGTGGAATCAGAGGTCCTTTACGCAGTTTCTATACATTCTGGGCCATTATCGGACCCCGCCTCCCGGCCCCAAAAGTAAGGGAACTTAGTTGTGATAGGTATATTCAAGGCTGTCGGAGCCAACAATACTTTTGTAACGAACATTTGAGAAGATTACCTCATAAAGTTAAATAAAACTATTCGATCGCCAGACAATTATGGCACATTGGCACCATCTGACTCCTTCTCGCTGCCAGCAGTGGCCCAGCCCTCTGGCGGCCTCTCCACGGAGAAGTTCCATCCAAACTGGTCTTCGATCTTGCCCGCCTGGATCCCCTTCAGCGTCTGCAGGAGCTTCGCGCACACCTCTCCACCGCTCTCTCCGTCATCCCCAGCCTCATATGTAAGGCGATCGCCCCGCGACCGCATGGTAATGCTCCGGATCGGCACGAGTGCAGCCGCCGTGCCGCAAGCAATGACCTCCTTGAACTCCTTCAGCTCCTCATAGGGGACGCGGCGTCTCTCCGACTTAAATCCGAACACGCGCTCTCCAATCTCCAACACGGATGCTGCCGTCACCGAGTCGATGACGTTCTTACTATCCGGCTGCACCAGCGTCACAGCGCCCGAGGCATCTTTCCGCACGCCGATAAACGCCGACGTCGAGAATTCATCAATCTCGGACCTCGTGCGACTGTCCAGATGCAGTGTGATCCCGAATCCCTCGCTGTGTGCCCGTCCACTGTGCCGCAGGACCGGCGCGTAGTTTCCACCCACCTTGGCTGATCCCGTGCCCTCCGGAGCGGAGCGATCAAAGTCCTCCAGGATCAGGGCATCCACGGCATGTACTCCGTGATACACACCGGTCGGCATGACAAAGACCACAAATGTATACTCGTCGGGCGGGGAGAGACCCAGCTGTGCCGAAGAGCCGAAGACCAATGGCCGGACATACATCGCAGCGCCGGTTTCATGGGGCGGCACGAACTCTGCATTCGCCCCGACGGCGAGCTTCACGCTCTCCACGAAGAGGTCCTCCGGGATAGGCGGGACGGAGATGAATTCGGCGGAGTGACGCATGCGCACGGCGTTGCGATCAGGGCGGAACACGCTGATGGAGCCGTCTGGGCGGCGGAAGGCCTTGAGACCTTCGTAGGCTTGTTGGCCGTAGTTGAGGCCTGGGGCCATGCCGTGGATGGGCAGGTAGGGCGAGGTGACGAATTTGGGAGCGCTCCATTTGCCGCCTTGGCTGTGAGAGAAGTGGCATTCTACGTGGCCGTTTACTGTAGGAGTTTTTGGAGTTAGTGGGGAGCTCACTTTCCGTGGCGGGACATAGATGGAGGGGTAGCGCATACCGTCACGGACTTTGAAGCCGACATTGTTCCAGTCAATGGAACTGACGGGAGGAGGAGGGAAGGTGGAGGCTGCCATTGTTCGATTTTATGAAAGATGTAAAAGAATTGAGATTGTTGAGAAAGTGAAAGGGAGGGGGAGAAGTAGATGAAGAAGCAGAGAAAACAAGCTGATGATTCATGCTTGGGTAAAGGTGGGATGGCCGCCGAAAACAGTCTAGCGCGCGAATCAGGTAGAGCACGGCATTGCATTCAGGTATCAACATCAACACTGCGGAGTGCACGAATACGACACATGGTTACTCCAGACCAATCTGTTGACCAATTGATCTGGAATTTGCATGGTGGTCCCCTGCAACGGCACGGTATGGTTTGTGATGCTCCGTGGGACGTCCTCGTATCGGCTGACGTCAGTTTCAACCACTGGACTTCTACGCGATGACAGTGTGCGACCATGATATAACAACCACCTTGGGATAGATGAAAACAATCCCCACTTCATCTCACATGGTGGAAATAGGGTATGGCACTAATGGACTATTTGAAGTTTTCCCCCACATTGCAGCTAGGGCGCACTTAGTCCGATCAACTATAGCAGAATGGCGAATCACCGTGTTTATCTCCTTGGCGAGGTGACATAGTGTATAAGCTTACTATACAAAAGCTCTTTGCTCAACGCTAGTGGTTCCATGGTTGAACGTATGATCTCCAGTGAAAACACATATATTCAAAACACACCGATTGGGTGGATTGATTTCTTAATGTTCAAATCTCCTTCACAAGAGACAAAAACCTATTATGCCCGGAGACTTTGAAACACGACATCCGATAACAATGGAATTGTTATCGTTGCATGTACAGTACAATGAGACGAGCTATGACCTGTTCGCCTTTGAAACACGCACATACCACTTTTTATCCACACCTTTGATATCCACACCGCTAATACCCTCATAACATTTTCTGTTCTATTTCTTCTCACCATCATCCGTCTTAATCCAGGCACCGCTATATGATGTGCCATGTCTTTTGACTTGTAGTCACTCCGCATCCGTATTGCTGAAGACTGTGTTTCAGGAAAGTGTGCGAGATCTTGGACATCCTCTGCGGTAAAAGCTGGCGTTCTCACTGATGAGTTAGCGCAGCTGAGGGACTAGGATATGGTTAATAATTGTTCATTCTCGATAGGGAAGTTACAATGAATGAGCTTTTCACGTGATGGATCTCAGGCAGTGTCAGGGTTTCTCTGAACACACTGTACTAATTTCTGACTCGCGGCGGGAGCTCTCGGAAATGGATAGACCAGGCTGCTGCACGAATCATCAATCACCACGAGCACGAACTACCACTAGCACCGTGACAGGCAGCAACATTGACAAGCAACGGTTGCTTTGTGATAGCAATGCGGTGGCCAATCGCGAGGCCAGCCAGCAAGGCTCTGTATGCAAGGGTCTGCAGAGATAGCAATGCTGTAGCCAATAGTTACTCATATTCTCGAAGGTCAAATTGATCCTAACTTTTAGCGCGTGGTAAACCGCCATTAATTCTCTATCATATATGCCGCTAGCCTCTAAGTCCTCAACAGGTTATTTAAGAGAAGCAACACGCGCAGAGGCGCACATCAAAAGATAAAGCAGGATACATAGTCAACTTATCCCCCTATAGTATGATACTTTTTCTACTATTAATCACAATGCTCCTGAACCCATTCCGACCATGCGAGGGCTCGCCAACCTTCCAAGAGGAATATCGGGGCAGCTACGTACCAAAGGTTATCGACACCGGATATGGCCTTCAGGTTGTGGCACCAGATACTGCATACGTCGCAGCGGCCGGTCCAAACAGGCTATACTTCATCGACACCCGCTTCGATGTCGAGACTGCAAAACATATCAAAAAACAAATCGAGAAGGCAACTGTACCGAATCCGGAGGAGTATGTCGCCATAGACGAGATTTTGGCTACGGCGGAAATCAAAAACTCTGTGACCGGCGAAACGACATTCGTGTTTGACCCCCTTTATGCCAGAGTACTGTTTGCGAGGGGAATGAACAGGCACAACCCTGAGCTTAAACTGCCGGAGCATGAGCCTGCCGGCGATTGGTTGGTGACCTACGACCTGGATGATATACTTACGAAGCAAAGTTGATCTGTTCTGCTACAAATTTGGCTGTTACACCAAGCAGGCCTGCATACGGCAAAGAAATAAAGACCGTTTATCAGGGGGGTTGTATCCATTGTCACTTGAAGGGGGTTCAATGCGTTCTTCACAATCCAGAGATATTGACTACATTGAGATCAGCTATGGACGTTTAGTGGGTATTAAATGAAGAGTGATATGCCTCTTGCCATTTACTAAGCATAAAAGAGTACTATACAACACCTGGATGATCGGACCTTAGTATTCTGTAATCAAAAACGACACATTTTTCCATTAAAGTGAATACTACTTCGGACTTTCCTTGAGAGTTCTATTATAGGTCAGATCGTCTATACTGATTCGAGTATTCTCATAACCTAGACCCAGTATCTATTAACTGTTCTCTACCACCTGTGTCTGCAGCCCCTCTGCCTCCGTTCATTCCCCTTGCGTTTGATTGATTAATCCCAGATTACATCATTACCATTAGAACCTTTCTCTTATTAGCAAAATAGGATCAAGTATGCATAACTCTTACCCCATACAACCATGTACTACGCTACATGCACCTTTCAACAAGACAAAGCCAAAATCTCGCATTCTTCTGGAGTGACAGTTCGTAGAAAAGCATTGCTTAACATCCCCCCCATTTGTCCTTCTCCCACATCCACAAACATAAATAATAACCGTAGAGACATGCACATCTAGCGAGATATAACCCCCCAAATCAGGTCCAGCAAGTTCCAGAGCCCGGTCCCGGCTGGCACTGCATGCGCCCCCCTTTGCATGACCAGCAACCATAGTCCCCTCGGCATTGGCATTTCCCAGGCTCGCAGTCTGCATGGGGCGGGTTAATGCCGCCGCTGCACTGAAGGGAGAAGTCCTGAGAATGTCAACTTAGATTGGGGCTTGTATTCATTCCTAGAGAAAGTGGACCTACGACTCCTTCGCCATTGTAAGTGAACTCGCCACTGGTGACTGTGTTTGTGGTGACGCTGTTGGAGGTGGGCATGGCGGATACTCCGGCAATGGCTGCGAGAGCGAGGATACTGGTGAGAAATTTCATTTTGTGGAATGAGGAAGGAGATAGTAAGTCTCGTGGATTTATTGGATTCGGGGGCTTGAAGAGAGAAGTATTGAGGATGAGAAAGCTTTCTTGTTTGCTGGAATTCTTGGGGGAGATGGATGTCCTTTTATATCTTTTCGTCTGGTCTTCTCTGTCCACATTTGTGGCATGATGCTCAATAGCGTAGGTGGGGGAGGGAAGATTCGATTCTGGTGACGGTGGTATGTCGGACAGAAAGGTATCCTTGAATGAATTGGGGGAACCTTGTCCTTCTGAGAGAAGACTATGCACCTCCCTGTCCGTATGGTACCATTGAGAGGAGAGTAACCAATGATAGCCCCAAGGCCGTCTACACTCTGACAAGGATGAATTCAAACCATGGCAGCATTTGTCGAGAATTGGCACACATGTCAGTCAGAACGAAGCCATACCTGCCTATGAGATCGTGGTGCCATTTCCAGTGGATATAGCCTTGAAGTACTATACGACGACCCAGACCTATTAGCAGAGAAACCGACAACTATGATGGTTGCAAGGGGTACTTACTCACCCCGCCGTCAGGACCTGCCATGGTACTATCGAGCGAACTTGAAATTTCGTAGTCTGCGAAGCTTTGCCGCCATGTCTGTGACGGAATGCAACAGGCGCATACATCTACTGAGGGTTACAAGTCCCACGAATGGAACAATATGCTTGGACCACGACACCAGCGAGCACATACATCTTGACGCTACAATAGACTGTACTCGGGTAAAAGGCATGTAGTCTTTAGGTACTTACAAGCCCAAAGCTCGGCTTGCCTTCCAATACCATTCTGGCGCGAACATTAATGCCGATCTTATAGACTATGTGGTAGGGGTTGATGCAATAGTGATCACAAATCGAAGCCCGAAAACTAGCGCCTTGAAAAGTCTGCCAAGCTCGTCCCTTACCAGTAATACCGGAGCAAAAGGAGAGGGAAATGACATAAACATTTGAAGTGTATCCCAAATAATCCAGATGCAGTTGTCTTTACCATCTCGAGGACTTCCGAAGTAGAGGTCCACCCACATCGCCGTCTGTGGTCTGTGTGGAGCATGAGCATCCGGGATGTACATGTTAGTGTCAACCGATGTCTTTCATTTTCTATTAGCTGCATTAGTACACGAAAACTGGGCAGTGCCCGCCAAGGGCTGCGTAGGGAAGGTTGCTTTCATTCCTTTCCTCGGCCCGCCCCCGGATTGTCGTCAATTTGGCCTCGAAGGCGTGACTGTCCAGAAAAGCTTAGCATTATCTGGTTATACCTCTTCCTCATCTATTTTAAAACGCTCTATGTACACACTGACCCATTAGGTAGTCAAGAGGACGAGTTCGAAAGGGGAACAACAGGAGTAAGCGGACCAGCACTGCCAGGACCCCGGAAATGTTGATAGCGAAATGCATTCCCCTGTCGGTTTTGCCTGCCTCTCCGACTTTTCCCATTAGGTGGAATGACGGAGCAACAAATCGGTATAGATGCATCTGCGAAACGGGGTCACCCCTGTAGTGACAATGAGACGTGGATTACGATAATTGCTTCCAGCGCCGTCGCTGCCTAATCACTAGGAAGGGAAGAAGGCTGTGGACCGTTAGAAGGTACAACTGTTCCAGAAAGGAATTGGCTAAGGTGACAATCGGCCAAGTTATGTGGTGTTGCTTTTTGTGGCCCATCGCCAAGGTAGGTATACCGAGTTTGAATGTTATTAGATTTTTGACGGGATTTCAGGCTGACGGCAAACTCAGATGCACGATTACATGTTGTGGTGTGTTCGCCGGACGATTAATCGGATACCTGTATAGTATAACAGACATTCGAATTTCATGCTGCCGCGAAGGACCTGAGAAGGGTATCGGAAGCTGTGGACAAAGTAACAGGGGGCAATACGTGGAGGAACAAGGCAGATCTTTAAGCAATATGTGTTCAGTGAGCCAACTATGAAAGAGTTTCCATGCTAATTGTGACAGAGGCCAAAAGGATGTAACAGTGTATACAGATTAATACCTTTGTCTCATGCATATAAGGATCAGTTCATGGTAGCTTCGTACTGGCATCGGAAAGCAGCATATTCTATTTGAAAACCTTTCGGACTCATAACTCGTAAAGAATGACTTAGTGAATATACATGGTAACAAATATTAACATCCTTCATACAACCATTACCCTTTTGTGTCGGACGCATCTAATTCATGCGCATCATGCTCAATACTCTAAGAGCACAACATCTGAGTCTACAGCCACCATACCTAAGTGCAATGCACCTCACCACCCTCATGGGTATGGCAATTCTACGGCACATCAGCTAACACCCCCAACAAGCAAGAGAATCATAAAACTCACCTCAGGCAAATCATCCGCAGCCTCTTCACTCTCCTCATACTCACCCACACACCCAACCCCCGGCGCAGCAATATCATACGCATAAGCCTCAAGCGCAAAATACTGCAGTGTCTCCGAGTCCCGAGTGGAGGTACTCTCGTTCCCAGCCGCAAGCTCAATGACCTCTCCATACCCATCAGCAAAATGTTCAACCCAGTTCTGTCCAATAGGAGGCATATGGAAGAGTCTGTGCAGCAGATCCGCCGCCCAGAAGGTGTTCGTCTCGGACCCGGAAATCGTGTATCCGAGGGCGCACATGGAGGTCAGCGAGCGGCGGGTCGAGTAGCTTAGATCGCAGATGACGGTTTCTGCGGTGCCGTTTTCGCCGCGCCAGTGGCCTGCCCAGCCTGTTTGATTCCTCGTGTTAGTATAGTGGATGGGACTTAGACCTGTTTGGTGGACTGGGAGGGAGGGAGTACGAACCTTCATTATCACAGTTGCCATCTGGGTTGTCACATCGGAATAGCACACTGCCTTTGTCGCCGTTGCTGACGATGTCGTAGGCACCGATGGCTTCGAAGGAGGGTCTGTTACCGAAGTATTTGCGGTAGATAGTGCTTTCGTTGCCCCAGCGAAGGATGTGGGCTTTTGCGTGGTCAACCAGAGCGATGGTTTCGTTGAGGCCGGCTTCGATCTGTCGACGCTGGGTCGCGTTGCAGCTTTGGTGGATTGGGTACTGGGTCATTGCACCGGCATCCCAGGGCGATGGGGCATGGGGGGTGCTTTGCTCGCGAGTGGTGAGAGTGATGGGGGCCGGAATGGCCGCAACGGTGGATAAGAGGAGGAAGGGGATGAGGGCTACCATTTTGGCTAGGGCGGTATAGATACTTGGGGAGCTTTTGGAGTCTATGGATCTACATGGCCAGGGTTATAGATGGGGTTTTATACTGTGGTTTCTGTATCCGGAGTGCTTGTCTCTTCTTGTCGTGGCTGTTGCCAAGTACTTTGACGGATCGTATTCAGAGTTTTCGGTACATCTGGAAGCGATCACACAGGAATATCATAATTTCCATATCTTCTGCCAAGCAGTACCTTGCGGCTGAGCTTGATATCATTCTGAATGATCACTATAGGTGGTGAAGGCTTTGTATTGTGATCATGGAATCATGCCTGGAATTACAGCAAAGTATCGTACGATGGAAGATGTCTCTAGGGAGTGGTAGCAGAAAGCTGGCAAAGCATCTCCTGACATGCACACAATCCAACATCCCACGTGTTTACTAACACCTGCACATACAACATGTCGTGGTCGGATATCAGCATGAACCATGATGCCAAGACATCGTGGGCATGGAAATGGCGGCCCATGCCAAGGTCTTGGTAGAGGACCTTGGGGGAAATAAGCCGTCTTCATTGTCGACGGTCTTGTCTCGGATTGTCCAATATGATTCAATATAAAGGCGGGTATAATCATTGGAACCTTCTTGGCGGAGGAGACAGTCGTGCTTGGCACAGATACCTTGGGGGTTAGTCCGCGAGGTTTCTCGGCGGAAGGGGAAATCTCTGTCAGAAGGCAATATTAGTAGCACGCCGTCATGTCGGAGAAATCCGACTTTGGCGCGGTTTTCCAAGTAGTCGAAATTACTGCCTGCTAAGCGAGTCATTGCATAGGGTGATACCTTGTGAGAACAGCGGGATAAATAGTAGTTGATCAAGAACTGATTTCTCGGCTCATTATCCTCTCTTCAGTTGACATTGAAATTGTGATACAGAGATCATGGTCAGTATGCTTCGGGGGTTGTTTGTGGCGTCTCTTGCAGCAGCGTGGTGCATGCACAGTCCTACTCGGGATGTCACACACATGGCAGCGTGGAGTACTGCTATGGGGCTGATGGCGAAGAGACCCCCATCACCACACATGCACAGGCGACGGCCACGTCTGTGTCTGCTACTGCAACTTCATCGGCACAGTCATCTGCAGTGACGGGGTGTCATAACCATGGTGACGACGTCTACTGCATAAATGGCGAAGGAAATGAGGTGCAGGTATCGTTGACCGCGACCCCAACTGGGGAGCTGCCCGCACAGTATACCGGTTGCCATTCCCACGGTAGCTCACAGTGAGTATACCCCCCGAGACCGGATTTGACTGTATCTCACCCCGCCATAGGTACTGCTTGGACGCAGACGGAAACGATGTCCAGATTCTGGAAGAGGGCGAGACCGGAGGCGAAAGCGACAGTAGCAGCGAGTCTAGCAGCGAGTCGAGCGGCGAACTAAACTGTCATTTCCATGCTGGTGTTGAGTATGTTTTTCACAAAGACATAAGACATGAGCATAACAACAGTCGCTAACGTAACTAGGCATTGCGTCGGTGCAGGCGAGTCGGAAGGGTCGAGCGAGAAATCCTGCGGTGTCCAGAGTCGCGACTATGATATGCCACTGCGGATTGGAACATTGTTCGTGGTACTTGTCACAAGTGCCCTTGGTGTCTTCCTTCCCATGTTGCTGGTCAAACTTCCCTTTCCCACGATCAATACTATGGCCTCAACTGTTATCAAGCAATTTGGTACTGGTGTGATCCTATCCACCGCCTTTGTTCATGTGAGGCTGGCATTCTTGGAGCTTCCTGAACCCTGCTAATCGTGTTTAGCTATACACCCATGCCAACCTTATGTTCACGAACGAATGTCTCGGCGAGCTCGACTACGAAGCCACCACATCTGCCGTCGTGATGGCCGGTATCTTCCTTTCCTTCCTCACCGAGTTCATCGGCCATCGTTTCATCGCAGCCCGTGGACATAAATCAGCCTCGGAATGCTGCGAGGACACACCATCGAACAATGAGTCCGCAAATCCAAAGGAAAACACAGCACCACGGACGATGCAGCTCACCCAACTAAGCCACAGCCACGGCGGTGATGGTGCTAACACGAAACTGTCAGTACTGGTCATGGAAGCGGGTGTGATCTTCCACAGTATCCTGATCGGCTTGACGCTGGTAGTCGCGGGCGACTCCTTTTACAAAACCTTGCTGGTGGTCATTGTGTTCCACCAGTTCTTCGAGGTCTGGCGCTCGGAGCACGGATTGCGATGCTTCCGGGTCGCATCTTCCCCAGTAAAGCCGTGATGGCAGGGACCTTTGCGCTGATTACGCCGATCGGAATGGCGATCGGAATGGGAGTGTTGCACTCGTTCAATGGCAACGCGCGAAGCACTCTGATCGCACTGGGAACATTGGACGCTTTGTCGGCTGGTATTCTGGTGTGGGTGGGTGTTGTGGATATGTGGGCGAGAGACTGGGTGATTGAAGGAGGCGAGTTGCTGGATGCGCCCTTGCCAAGAGTGTTGGTGGGAGGAGTGTCCCTGATAGCCGGTATGGTCCTGATGGGCGTGCTGGGCAAGTGGGCCTAGTCTTTAAAAGACTGTTGATTGCTGTATATAGACTACGATTGCGATGGATAATATTGGAAATTTACAAGCGACATTGGTTTTCATTTAATATGGCATGTTCATTAGGGCCTACAACACACGTGATGGTAAACCGACTGACAATGATAGTCTAACAACACGATGTAACGCTCAGACAGTGAGTGATTTCTCTGTCCTCTATTAGCGAACCGGCTAAATTATCGTGAGTGACTAACGGCCGAGGTTCATTTATTACTTAAACGGGTGCCCGGTCCCCTTGGCGCCCTTCTTATCAACAGCCCTTCGGCCCCTAACGTAAACATGCAGTGATCTCTCACTAAGCCAATTTATGGTACAGTTGAATCGATCCAATATGACGAACAATATTGACATCCACTACGCCACTGAGTCTGAGGCAGCCGCCCTTGGCGCTATCAATATAGCCAGTTTCAGACATCAACAAATGTGGCTAAATGCTCTGCCGGGGATCGAGCCCGAGATCTGTATACCGATGAAACAGGCTCGTTGTCTCGAGAAGATGGAGTCCCCTGATATCCATGTTTTCTCCGCGGTGGATACCAGCGTTGATCGGATAGTGGGGTATGCCCGCTGGACAGTTCCCTGGGAGGAAAATAAAGTCGAGTTATCCGAGGAGGGCAGAGCGATGGTGGCGAATGCAGCAAGCCTAAGACCAAAGGAAATGAGGGAAGATGTCTGGGAAGCCGCTTTCAAGCGGATCAAAGAGAAAAGGGCTGTTAACGTTAAAAAAGATGACATGGGTACGTGGGTTTCTGCAATTTGTCGCCTTGTGTTTCAATTCCCTGTCTTGGCTGTTTGGAGACATTCCCCACATTACGTGAAGCTTGTCTGTCACGGTCTTTACTAATGTCGCCCGAAACGATAGTCCTGGATATTCTAGCCATTTCACCCGAATACCAAGGCAAGGGGATCGGCAGCAAACTGCTACGGTGGGGGACTCAACAAGCTGATGCCCGCAACGCGCGCATCTATCTTGAGGCCACCATCGAGGGATACCCGCTCTACCGCAAGTACGGGTGGCACGAAATGGAGAGGCTTGTGATTGACTATGCAGAGTACGGTGGCACCGGCCAGGCGGTGTTTGTGCTCATGATGCGAGACCCTCAGAGTACCGCCCTGGCACAGGGTTGATGACGTTCAGCCCCGTCGACCCATCGTAAATCGGCCTGAGGCAGCCATCAGGTGCATGATAAGAGGTCAGCTGACGGCAGATAACGGCAGAACCTGCCTAATCTCGCCTAGCGGCTTGGCCAGGTGATCATCACCGAAGGCGTTGATTGGTCAGGGTGGCATTTGTATGTACAATCCAAGCATCCGCGTCGAACTGCCAGGAAGGGCTAAAGGCTGTGTGATAGATAGACCTTATAAGACGACTGCTCATGCTCAGCACTGAAGGGATAGAAAATCCAAAAGTCTCAAATCCGCCACAAGAGCTGCTCATCTGTATTGCATCTCCTCTCCGGCTCGTATCCGTCCTCCTATTGTCGTACAGTCCGTCCTTCTCTTCTGCGAGGCTCGTCGACCTTAGATGGCGTTATCCTTGTTCCCCCTTCGCCGCCATTCGCACTCTTATACCATTGCGTTATCCCAGCCCATTCGCAGACACAGTAAAAATTGAATATCAGCTGCTAGAACGGAGACCAAGACTTTCAATATGGCGCTCCAGATCGTCCCCATGACCAAACAGGACATTCCTGAGGCCGTAGAATGCGTCCAGACGGCGTTTGCCGAGGATCCGTATTTCCACTGGTTATTCGATTCTTCAGAAGTAAGTCTCGAATTATCGATCTATATATGGCTGTCTGAAGCCTATCCATAGAGAGAAGGAAAAAAAAGAGAAAAAACAGAAAAAGGCTGTATAGATCCTAAACGCATGATGATGAATAGTACAATATCCACCGGAACGCCGCCTCCCTCGCCGCCCACTTTCAATATGGCCTGAACTGCAACACCCCGATGTACGTCGCCAAGGTCCCTATCAGCGACAAGCACCCTCGCTCGGTCGTCGGCGTCAGCTGGTGGTTCTCTCCCCAGCCGGCCTCCAAGCCCGTCCCTTGGTCCGTCTGGGCCCAGGACTGGCTCCTCTCCTTCCGCCAGTTCTTCTTCAACGTCCGCTTCGGCGGACGAGGTGGCCTCAACCTGTACCGGTACAACATGTGGAAGGAGATGCAGCGGAAAACCCACGACGTAGTCTGGACCGACCCGCGCGGGTATTACTTCTGTAATGTCTTGGCTGTGAGCTCGGAAATGCGCGGGATGGGGCTGGGCCGGAAGCTGGTGGAGGTTGTCACGCAGCAGGCGGATCGTGATGGCATGCCATGTTATTTAGAGAGCTCAAAGGGAGTTCCGAATATCATTATTTACGAGAAATTGGGCTTTAACTTAGTCACGGAGATTGATTGCGTGGATGGAAAGGATGCTTGCAAGGTGAGTTGGTCTGTTTTGCTTGTGGGTTATGCTAATTTTGTAGCTGTATTGTATGGTTCGGAAGCCGAAGATCAAGGCATAAAACGGACTATTACAGGTTTTGCCTTATGAGATTGTCCTCTGCGAAGGATCTCGTAATAAGCATTGGCTATACACTCGACTCGGACAGACTTGTTACTAGGGCTGCGGGGAAGGTACCGCTTCGCCGATGATATCCGGTGGGTAGATGATACATGAATTTCGCCCGAACATCCCCGCCCGGCCTCATAAGATCCCATTGTATGACACATTACTTGCTCTACCTAGATATATTCTTCAATAAATCACTTTTGATCATACACATATTTAGAACAGATTGGCTGTTCAGTCAAATTTATTCACCAGAGAGAGTAGAGGCTACAATGGAGTCTGGATGGACGAGTAACTTGTCCGCTTTTCATCACCGCTCAACTTAAGTGACAAGAGGGTAGGTGAACGTAAACTAGGAATGCGAGCACATCGGGAGATATTATCTTAATTCATTTTTCTGGGGTGAAAGGTTGTGAGTTTACTATACAGTATAATGTGTGTTTCTTGGCCGCATAATATCATAACATAGCTTACAGGGCGTCTTAAACGAGCTTGGTAGGTATATACCAGTAACGCTCACAGAATAGTACTATAAACACATCAGAAACGATCCTAAAACTATAAGAAAAGCCTGAATGAAAGAAAATGCCAAGAGTTATTCACATCTCTGGTATAAGTGTACATGAAATCGCTCTTGCGTCCGTATAGCTTTACACACAATGTTTGAAATCAAGGTGCTCCACATTGGCCGCTTGGAACCTATTAGCACTATTATTCCTTTCCAAGCACGGCTGAAAAGAAACAATCGCCAAGTCAGTCGTAGGGTACGAGGAGCGCTATCTGACTGAATCTATCCTTATATGGGTTGTAGGCTTAGAGCCCTCCTGGGCTACAATCTAAAGCTTTCGCACAATTACTACACCATGGAGCCTTGGGCTATTGTCGTCCTATTCTTCAAGGGCAAATTCTATTTCGAGAACTACTAAACCGTGTTCAAGATACCATTGGAAGGCATTTCATTCCTTGAGATGCATCTAACTGCCGGGCTGTTCTTCACTAGGATTGGTTCCCAAGTCGAACACGTCCTCAGTCTCTTCATCAGAACCGTCAGTCAGTTCATGGTGAGGCGATGGGATCTCAGTTCCTTCTACTTCATCAATTGCGGGAGCTGTGAGAAGTTCGAGAAACACGCGTATTTCCAATCCTTCCTGTGTTGGTGTCGTTAGGTCGATCAACCTCCGGCCATCCGCCAATAGGCCAACCGAAGCTCCCCGCTCAACTAACATTCTCACGCAATCAATGTGGGACCATGTCACTGCTTTATGGAGTGATGTCATATTGTCCGCGTCTTTCGGATCGAGTGCAGCCCCGGCATTGATTAAAGCCTCGACACATGCTACCCATCCATGTCGAGCTGCCCTGTGGAGTGGCGTTTCGCGGTTATGGCTTTGTACATCCACTGAAGCCCCTGCTTTAAGTAAAGTTTCCATGCAGTTTGCGGTTTTCTCAAACCGTGGGTAATGAAGGAACCCCTCGTGAACCCACCACTGAGGATAATACTCAACGCAGGGGCCAGCTGAGTAGTGAAGTGGTGTGTTGTCTTGCTCGGTCTTAGCGTTGACTGAAACACCAGCTTCAAGCAAGGCGTTGACGCATTCCAAGTGACCGAGGCTCACTTCAAAGTGGAGTAGAGTTGTAGTGTTTTCATACCGGTCGCCGTTCACTATAGCACCATGATGGATCAGCAGCTCAACTCCAGGTATATACCCCTGGGCAGCGGCGACATTAAGATGCCTGGGCCCAGGGTCACCTTCCACACTTGCACCTCGCTCTAGTAATAGCTTGATGATCTTCTCTCGTTCACGATGAGGGTACCGAATATTCGCTGCTAATGCACATCCAAGCGGTGTAATGCTCACAAACCGGAAGCCCACACGATGCACATCCGCCCCCAGTTGGAGCAATAGTTTCACAATATCGTATTCTCCAATGTATGCTGCGTAGTGTAGAGGGGTAAAGTTTTTATTTATTGGGTCGTTCACGCCATGGCCGCGCCCAAGGATCTCTTGCGCCATCGCGAAGTTTCCATTCCCCACGGCGAGCTGAAGCAGTGTTATTTCTGGCTCACCGTAGGGCCCGTAAATATCACCCTTCGTGATATCTATCTTATCGAAGATCTCCATTCGTTCAAACAGAGTAGCAAGGAAAACCGCATTTTCAGAACGTACGTTTCCTTCACATGTGCATTGCATGCGGGGATCGGCACCATTGTCCAGTAGCCTCACAGCGAGGTCGTCAAGTCCAAGACCTATGGCAAATTCAAGCCAGGTATGAGTGTCCGTTACAGAATGGCTATTCCGAAATTCGGCGTTTCCTGTTTAGCAAGTCATGCTTAGTGGGGCGCTGGATCAAGATCTTTATTATCAGAAGGAGCTCACCAAGTTTGTACAGATATGGTTGCAATGTCCTGTAAAAAGTGTGATTCACGCTGCTGAATACAGACACATCGGCCAAGGGAAGAAGGTCAACAATCATCCAGAAAAGGTCGGCTGGCAATAATTCTAGAATACTCTTGTCTATCCGTTGCGTGTCATCTAGTCCCCCTTCCTGAGAACCGCTGGCAGCGTCCTTTGTTTCCATACTATCGTGAGTATACAAAGAATAGGATGCCACAGATCGCTGAATGATGCAAATCGCAAGCTAAGTATGAGTAAAGTTATCGAGGAAGACGACAGGACTGGGATGAGCTCTGCATAGAAGATGCACCGCAAGCCTGGGCGATGAAGATTGTTATACAGCTCCAGATGGCCCTATCGGTATCACTCCGTGGTTCAATATATAGTTGTTGAATGAAAGTGTCCCTTATATACGTGCTTCGTACGGCCTGGCTCTTTGTGCGTATCCATTGGTTTAATTCAACTTTGACTCGAGAGCTCGTGTAGCGACAACCGTCATTAATGTTCTCCCGCTTTAAAAGATAAGCCAGGCACCTACCGTGAACCGAGATGTACCGAGATGGTGATACTTCCCATACCTTGGTTCATTTTGAGCCAAGTGTCTAGTGAACTGTCCTCATTAACCCTTTCTCAAGGGAAATGCCACTATTATCTGCTTAGCATTACAGGCTCTTTCATTGATGTATACCTGAAGGAGTTAACACGAATACATGGACCCTCGAGGGGACGGATGGAGGGGCTTTTGGATATTCGATGCCGCCTTGGGCTATGGACTCCAATTCCTTCAGTACTCTTTCGACTGGTAAGGATATTGTTTTAGAGCCGTCACTTCCTTGCGATCGCTTGCTATCTTGGACGGGCACGAGGAAAGAGCCCAACCGGCAGGAGCTATGCCAATCCAACACTCATTGTCGTGAATGCGAAGAGACCATTTGCCAAGCACGATCTCCTAGTTGCGTCTTCCCAGGCCCATATTTCCAGAATGGGTAAAGGATCTGCATAAGCCAGGGCGCACCCGCAGAAAACTGAAGAATACATAAGCCTTGATCTCCCGTGAAGATAAGCAAGCGCATGATCCCCCCCGGTAAACGCAATGAAGTTTCTCTCGGCAATTTTTCTCTATGCTGCTGCTGGGCTAGCCAGCACCGCCAGCTCATCGGGTTGCGGAAAACCCTTACCCGCAAACCAGAGCCCTGGCGGATCCAGCTACGGGGTCAATTTTACCACATCAGACGGCACTCGGCGATTTTATCGAATCCACATTCCTTCTAGCTACGATGTGAACAAACCTATTCCGCTCATATTCTCATTTCACGGGCGAGGCAAAACAGCGGAAAGCCAGGAGAAGCTGTCGCAATTCAGCAATGAAGATTGGAATCCAGATGCCATTGCTGTGTATCCGCAGGGGCTGAACGTATGTCATTATCGCTCTATTATCCTTTATCAGTGGGATTATTGCACTAACATGCATACAGAAAGAATGGCAGGGAGACCCACACTCCAAAGACGTCGACGACGTAGCATTCACCATGGAAATGCTTGACGACTTGCAGGAAAAGTACTGCGTCGATTCTGCTCGTGTATACGCAGCAGGCAAATCCAACGGCGGCGGATTTACAAACCTGCTAGCCTGTGATCCAACAGCATCTACCCGGATTGCTGCCTTTGCTCCAGTCGCGGGCGCTTATTATCAGGATGTCTCTGAAGAAGAGTGCCGTCCTGCTACGGTACCGATCAAGTGTTCTCCCGGTCGCCCCTCGATCCCCATAATTGAATTTCATGGTACGGCGGATAAGACAATTCCTTACGGTGGCGGTGGCCGGCGCGGCAAATGTCTCCCTTCTATCCCGCACTTCGTGCGTGAATGGTCGAAGCGACTGGGGTACGGGCTCCACAATAAGACTAAGGAGTTGTACGGTGGAAATGTACAGGAGTATCAGTATGGGAGTGGTGGTGGCCTTGGGATTGTTACCCATTACCGGATTCAAGGGTTGGGACATGACTGGCCAAGTGTGCAGCCGAATAGTGACAATCCCAATGGGACGTATCTGGATGCAACGCCGATTATTGTCAAGTTCTTCAAGCGGTGGACGTTGCCTGGGACCTCCGAGGAGACTTAAAGCGATACAGTGTAAACCTTTGAAATAGTTCGCTAGGGTTTAAAGATGATCGGGACAAGAGTCGAAAACGTCACAGCACTGCATCATATCAGCATAGAAGATGCAGCTTATAGTTCTACACGTGTTCAGGCATCTATCAAATTATTGCTGATATCATCTTGCTTGCCTACTACTACTGGTCCCACAACACAGGTGAAATGGCTGGTCGCATTGCGTAAAGGATCCTGCAGCCCAGAGAGTAAGACAAATATAAAGCCAACCTTCGACTCAAGCAGAGCATAATGAACGCGAAGTTATCCCTTCCGCTTATCCCTTCCGCTGTATACTAGTGTAGACTTCCTCCAATAGAAGCCATTCGTTTAACTTGGCATGTCTCTCGAAAAATTACCAGACGAACGGTATACCTGTGGGCCATTGATGTTCTGGACCCTAATTCGAGTCGAAACAGTGGATCCCCCGCGACAACGCCTACGCCTACTCGTTCAGTGATAGGTGGATCTGTGTCGATGCTGTGATAATTTTAGGGTAGCTGCAAGCGATCAATGCATAACCGAATCGCTACCGGGACTCTTCTCAGCATGTTTCATTTTTTAGCGTTGGCGCCAGCGACTGTCTTACTTTCCCGGGATGAGCCGAGGAAGCCCCTATGCTAAGGGTATCTCGCCGAGTGATCCGTGACAGGTAAGAATGGCTGGCTGGCTTCAAGCTCCTCACGATCTATAAGTATGTGTTAAGTCAAGGAATGTGTAAGAGATGCAGCCAGGACACTGCATCCCACAAGACCAAAAGGTCAGCATAATTCTGAATCGTCAATTCAGAATGTCCTGGAGTGGTCTGTACAGTAAGCCGCCGTTACAGAATGTCTCACTTCACTCCCCCATTGCACGGGTTTGAACTGTGGCTTGGCGAGTTGTAATGATATGGTCATAGGATAATTTGAAGTTGGGTAAAGAGGCTACAACGTGGTACCGTGGCATCAACCCATAAAGTAGAATATGCATAAAGAGTTTGGGTAAGAGCCGGGGTATCATATGTATCTTCTCCTGTCTGTCAGGTACAGCTGAGGATCTAGAAATGGACGCTTTCCCTTGAGTTCTCTTTGGTTAGGTTTCACCGGACAACTCGGGGTCCATAGCCTAGCGCACCTAGGACATAGGAGATTTGAAGTGCCATATTATAAGATCCGTAATACCTAGTGCGGTATGGCGTTCCATACATCCTACCGTTAAAATGGTTGATGTGGACTAACAATATCCATACATTGTGTGTATTCAGATGAACACTTGCTGCACAATCTGAAATGCAGGTATAGTCCCGCTTGAACCTACCTGTGTATCGGTTGTCGAACATGAAGGCTTCTGTAAAAACCAATCACGGTTGTAAGAATAAGCGAACAAAACTGAAACATATCGAATGTGCTACAGCCTTCGACGGAAAACATGTGCCCGATGTCTTATATGCAGAGACCCAGCCATGTGGGAATAGATCCATAATCGAACACCAAGCTTAGTGTTAGTTACTCTGGTGGTTTCCATTTGCTCCCAATTTCTAAAGGGCAGTCACGCGACAGAATTCAATATTGATAAAATGTACACAAGTAAGAATAACGTCGAGTATGCTCGCTATGGGTGGTGTTCATACAGAGGCCATCTACAGTTTAAGGTCATTCTCACCTCCTCAGAACTATTGCGTTGGTGTGGGCAACCACAAGCGAATTGATTTGCATTCTCCATCGTTGCGCCAGTAAGAAGGGTATCCTAGAGAGAAAAAATTACCTAGTGATGATTATTCTATAGCCATTGACAGCTTTTTCGACTTTCCCAGCTTTAACCATCCGACACCCTAACCAATCCCAAGCTAAAATAGGCTCATGCAAAGTTGGTGTTCAGCTCGCCACTGTCTTAAATCAGCGTGGACACGCTTTCTAAAATGGGATATATTCAAATCCTGATTGATGAGTTCGGCTCGAGGGATCGGAGGTCTTCTAGGGAGTGCAATTAGATTAAAGCCTATGAGGCAAGTTGTTTCATATTAAGACACGGTGTGTGATTGGCCGGTATCCAGCACCTTTGCAGAGAGCCTGCTGCGGGCGCTGGATTGGATATAAAGTGACCGCCATGCCACAAACCCAATGACCCTTTCGAAGCAGGCTTGTCACAAGGTGGCAAATTCAAAGGATGAGGTGGTTGAAGCAGACTTACGATTCGATAAGCAGCGAGGACATCGAGGAGAGCAGGGCGGAGGCAATCAGAGACTTTCTTACCGCGAAAAATGACAGAAATGCCGCTGCTCCCAACCGGCATTCTGCTCATTCTCCAACTAATCAACCTCTGACACTCCAAGGCAGTGAGTCTCCCAACAAGGGTGAGTATTCCGTGAGATCAGTTTCATATGGGGTCGTCAAAAACCAAGCCTACCTGACATTCGGTGCAGTTCATCATTCCAGTCCGAAGCCCACAGAGCCTGATAAGATCACATCCCTCCTCGAGTCATTCGACAAGCCCCCTATGACCCCCCATACCCTCCCAACGCCCCCTCCCGGTCGCAGTGACAGTATATCCTGTCTGGACACGGGCGCCAGCTCGATAATGGAACGCCCCACGGACCAATTTCCTCCTTCAAGGGCTCTACAAGGTACTAGTAGTGAAGCGGGAGACACATCGACTCTGAAGAAGCAGCGTTTACCTGGGTATGGAACCAACTAGCAGAAGGCTGGTATTGTTCCTGGTTTAGCATGTGTGTGGAATGCGGCACGAGTGCATACTCTTGAGGTACTGGTGGAAATAATCTGGATTGTACAATGTGATATTATTTCAGCTTCGGATACAATCCAAACAAATTCTTAGGTTAGCAATGAGGACGGCCTTCATGCCTCAGGCAAGAAAAGTAACCTTGAAAGGGATCGGGCTTGGCTGCCTGACAGCCTGAAAAGGTGTGCCTTCCTAATCGGGTATAGCTCAGGGGTCATGGGTCCAAAGAATAATTTCCAATTTTGGTCCGGATATCAGGGGCATCCATGAAGAGATTGGACATTGTACGTCAACCGCCTCTCCTGCTGTAAACAATTGAGAATTCAACTTTTGGTTCTCGAATACCTCCCCAGCCGGGACCCAGAATCTGACGTCGCATATCATTAACCTCAAAGAGTAAACGATCTACTCGCCCTGGACCGTTCAGATCGCGAGACAAAGATCGACTGTGCGGAACGGCGGATCCTCCATGAGTTTGTCGATCTTATCAAAACTGCCCCCTATGGAGCGTGGGCACTCGATGAAGTAAGTATCTGCGCATTCCTCATGGCCGTGCTGGAAAAGGGATTTCCACTGGTATTCTACAACCGCAAACCGATACGATGGTGTCGAATGACACCCGAAACGAGCCGGCTCCCCAAAAAGCGAAAAAGCAAATTACGAATCGTATTCGGCAATCAGGTAATTGGCTGGTTTCAACATTTCTTCGTGATTGTGGTATCTTTTGGACAAATCAAGAACAGTGTGCAACTCCGTCATCCCTCTAGCCCCTCCTTCCTCAGCCTCGACTGTATATAGCTGTTACAAGGCCAAGTCCACTTCAACTTTCCAACCCTCACATGCAGGTACCATTCTCGTTGGGGCTGCCGATATCACCCTTGATGACGCAGAGCTTCGAGCAGCAAGGAGTCTGCGAATCGCATGGCAAACCGTTGGGGGTGCATTGGTTCGGCACCGCAGCCACGGCAGCGACAAAGACAGAGAGAATGAGATAGGCGAGACGCATGTTGACCGGCAGATTAAATGTGATTTGAAGGACTGTAGGTCATTAGTCACCTGGCATGATCTACGTCAATCAAAGACTGTGAGAATACCTTTTAAGGTTATGCTTTTCAGGCTTGACGCAAGGGAGTGTGAGTAAGTAGCTTGGATGTCGGAAAGCCTCTCGGGAGGGGAGGCAGTCGATCCTTATATAGAGTCTGGGTGGGCCTGTTCATTACGGAGTAATTCTGAATTATTCCCTAGGTGTCAGATTTCAGTGACATTCCGAGGCCCACCTCCGGAGCCAGGAACGGCACTTGGGCGCATAGCTTGTTGCACTTAGCTCTGTCGGGAGTAGACTACCAACTATACCATAGTAGGATAGGAACAGGTCGCAGTACTAGATTCGATACCCCACCGTCTCACAGCCAATCTCCTCGAGCCATTTTCTTAGCCACCACGGCTTTCCAGCTTGGTGTGGGTGTCGGACTCGCTTAGGGCCTAGTCCCGCGCTACTCCTGGAAGCACATCTTACGGACAATGCCGAGCCAGCGACAGACATCCATGGTAGCATGAATAACTATAGAGTCTTATATTATTACAGCTCTCTTTACGGACTCCAAGAGGTTGGAATAGCTGGTGGCGCATAGAACCCACCATCCGTATTTCTCTCAGTTCTTTGTTTCTTTTTGATGTTTCTTTGTCTCGCATCCTCTCTCAGGGCAAACCCCGCTCACCAACTGCGATGCTTCAGTATGAAGGGCTCCAGCACGCTCAGATATACCCGTGACGCCGTGAGACCTCATTAGATCCTTTTTCAGAAAGATCTGAGCGTACTATTTTCCGGCAATTTCCGGGACTTGAATTTGTCCACGTATGTGCATCAACTTAGCCTATTGTCTCAACATCGGCACCTATCCAAAGTTTAAATCACTTGCTGAAACATGCACCCTGATGGCCGGAGAATCTTAACATTAATCCGCAACCCTCCGTATCGTCTTAGTGGCGGCTGGATAATCTGAACGAACTGAAGCATATAGTCACCATATATGCGCAACCCCGTCTTTCAATCACTCTCGGTCTGAATTCTCCAACAGAACTTATTGCGCATCCCGTATGAGCTGTTGGGATACTTAGAAGGCATAGGCTGTATAACATGCAACGTATCTTTTGCCTTCATGAATGCCATGATCAATAGCTCTGTTTGTTCCTACTGTTTACTTGTGTTGTATCAACCTACGGAGTAGCACAGGGCGAAGCATATGCGCATTTTCATCAAGGCGTCAAGGCCAGATGGCAAGACACTGCTAGAACATCTTTTGAACATCTTCGCTGTCCGATGCGTGAAATGCTTTGTCAAGAATCGGTGAGCGACGTCACATAAAGGGATAAACACTCGGGAATGGCTTATTTCGGACCACAATACGTGAGTCCCATCTTGAACTGGTGTTCGAATGGGCTGGTGGGGGAATGAGGCATCACCGACCAAAGAGCGCCAGCAGTCGGGGGCACTCATTAGCGATATGATTGCGATCGGCGTTCGGGTTTCCTTTCCTTTTGGCCAAGCTTTTCCCTCTTTCACCCAACTCGTTGGTTCAGGCTCCATTTGTATGTGGTTGGCTGATCTGGCAATTGTGGAGACCTCAGTGCCTTTTAGCTAGTGTTCTAAATATATTACCGACAGAAATGCCTATTCAAGTACGCAGTAGGTAATCGATACTACCTGATAGTTAAGGGGCTGAAGGAATTCAGGGTTTACTACAGAGTATTCAGCGACAAGATCATAGTTCTAGAAGGGTATCCAGGAGTTGTCTTTGCTTTTAGTCTTCTGTTAAGGTGGAATCCCCTTATGCTTGGTCTTCCGGTCGCTCTACTTTAGAACGTAGCCAACTTCTAAGATGTCCTAGGTCCTTTGCAGAGGTATCATGGGTGTTAGGAAACACGGAATAAGGACCGACATAGTTTAGTAACTCTAATTTGCGGAGAGGCGCAACAGCTTGTCTCAGAGGTTCTGAGCCTATTAATAGAGGAAACCTTGATAGGGATATACGGATATATATTTAGAGCCGAGCTTCCGCCGAATCCTGAAGTGATCAGGCTCAATTAACGTAGTCTCTGTTAGCTGGGGACTTACCATTAAGATCACTTTGAACACAAATACTAAGTGATAGCAGTAGTATATTAACTCTAATTGTAGGAATGTTGACTGACATGCAACGCGCCTGGCACGTGTCCCCGATTCCGACTCCGGTTCCGATTCCGACTCTCCGACGACCCTCAACGACAACTGCGATCGCTTTTCCTTCCTCGACAAGTTTCATCCTTGTTCAATATGAATCGACGGCAATCTTCAAGGCGTCATGCATGCCTTCGATGTATTGAGTTGAAAGTCAAATGTTCTATACAGGACAATGATAAAGAATGTCAACGGTGCTCTCGATTGGGGCGTCTTTGTGCTTTCCCGAGTACTTTGCCAAACAATCCAGGCAGAAAAAGCCGGATTGATGAGCTTCAAGACCAGATCAATGAGCTCCGCAATCAGCTAGCGCAAAGGGGAAGTAGATCTTTTGCTATGTAGGAGCATTCAGCGTTGTCTGACTGAAGCCACAGGACGAGAGGGCTTGTGGACAAGGCATGTCCGGGGATGAGCCAGTGCCACAGACTCTACGCCAATATAGTTCGTCGATTGAACACACAATGTCCATCACTCCGCGCCTTGACTTGGGTGAGCCCGGCGACTTGTTGACTATTGGCATCCTTACCTTGGCTCAGTGTAATCGACTGTTGGATAAGTTTCGCACGGTCAAAATGCCACAGTTTCCGTTTGTCATAATATCAGACTCAATGAATGCGATCAGTCTCCGCCGAGAATACCCTTTCTTGTTCATGACTATTATGACTGTCAGTACGGAGGACACACCGGCCTTACAAAAGAAATTGGGCCATGAGGTCAAGCGAACTATCAGTACTCGTATCATTATGAATAACGAACGGAACATAGATCTCCTGTTAGGTCTTCTTGTCTATACAGCGTGGTACCACTATCACTGGGAGTCAATGCTGCCGCACATGTATCTGTTCCTTCAACTAACCGTCATAATGGTTGCTGACCTTGGGCTCGACCGGGAGCCGAATTTCACCATGCGGAACATTGCAGCCAGCTTAGGAAGGCCTCCCACAGCGCATCAGCTGAGTACGAGCCATTCGGCCGCTGGCAAGAGGGCTCTGCTGGGAACCTTCTATTTGTGCTCGGTGTAAGGACTTACCCTATTGTTTACTCGAACCCACTGACATTGCAACAAGGTCGTCGCTTTTTCGACAGCAGTTGTTCATGAAACATACCAATTGGATTAATCAATGCTGCGATGACTTGATGAAGAATCCTGAATTTCTATCTGATCAACTTCTGAAAAGATATATAGACGTACGAGTGCTGGCTCAAAAGAGCGCAGAAGTATTCAATGGCAATCTTCACAGCCCCACACATTTACCCTCAAATGGAGAGGGAAGATTACAGGCTGGAATCCAGAAACTTGACAACGAATTTGGTTTATTTCTAGGTATGAAATATGAGGATAGAGAGCAAAGAAGCAACACCTGTGAGTTACCTGGTTGCACAATATTATTCAACCGCAGTGGGTTTTGTTGTGTCTTACTAACCGCAGGTAAGCAAAAGGCGCTTATGTATTTGAACTAAAAGTCAAACCAGTTCTCGTTCTTGGGCAAATAGTCTACCACAGGAATGACACGTTCCTTCTCGATGAAATGGACCAGCTTGACGACCTCATTTCATCGGCAGAGAGCTTCATTGCCTCCTTCCTTGAGGCCGAACCAGAAATTGCGATCCACCTCCCTCTATCCTTCTACACCTATCTCTGGTATGCGTTGTTAGTACTTTCAAAGGTCCTTTTGTTGTCCGACCTCGAGTGGGAAATGACAACTGGGTTGGGGCGAAGAATTCATGGAGTCGCGCTGGCGGCTATCGCAAAACATGGAGAGCTCTCACGTGGTAACGATGTCTGGGCGAATAGCAAGAGGGTCATAGGAAGCATGATATCATGGCTGGAAAAGCATCAAGACCTGCGAAGGACGGAGCAGAGGGTGCCAAAATGTCCGATCTCAACGATGCACCACTCTACGGTTGTTAACGAGAATACAAACTACCCTTCGGCTTCTTCTGGTTCAGATTCGAACGAACCAGGAAGACAATTAGCCTTCCTGACACAGCACCCTGATCGAGTGGTGACTGATGTTAGATTTGATCAAATCGCCTCAGGCGGTGTGGGTGATGGGGTGGATGACTACTGGGATGCAATACTATGGCAGCAAATGCTAGAAGGACCAGTATTCCCAGGGCTGCCTTCTCCCCTGCATATATCTAACTGGGAGTGCTCCCATGGTTAAGGGTTCGAGAGCCTCTCCCGAAGGACATGGTAGAAATTATGTCTATCTCTTTTCCCGTGGTTCTTGCCATGGGGCATCCCTCAGCCAAGACCAATTAGACCGGGAGAAATGCTGACTGAGCCCCTGAATGAGGCGACAAGAATTTCTCCGAAGTATTGGCGACGATTCTCAGCCACGACAGCTATTTCCCTTTTCAACCCTATTTATCGATAAATATCCTCTTATCCAAGAGGTACTTGGTCACATATACCATGTCTCTCCACGCGATTGCCAATGGCTCTCGTAGATCACATCGGAAATCTCGTCTTGGATGTGGTAATTGTAAACGCCGCAGGATCAAAGTAGGTACACTCTCAGTAATTATTATCTAAATATTATGTCCGCGGACTGACGGTTTATGCTACAAAGTGTGATGAGGTGAGGCCAGCCTGCAATGGCTGTCTGCGCCACTCAGTTGTGTGCGACTATCAGCTCGAGGAAGCGAATTCCAACGCCAATTCACAGCCGGTAGTAAAGGCATCTAAGGTGGCAGCTAAGCGTCATACCTTCATTTCGTCGTATCAATCCAACTTCAAGCCACCAAAGCGTGCACATAGAACTCGCAAGTCCTTGGTAACGCAACTGCTCCAAATTTCCTCATCTGAGCGAATCCTTCCAGCATTGCCATGCCGACCATTTGAGTTTAGCATCGTCGATATGGAGCTGTTCCATAACTTCGTAAGTCCAACGGACTATGGCGCTTCAGATTATCAAAGTGCAACGAGAATTTACCACTCTCAACTTACCCGCCTTGGGTTCTCTTTCCCGTACGTGCTACGCCTCCTGCTTGCTTGTTCGGGCTTTCAGTTGGCACGGCGTCCAGAAATCATGCAGCAGCAGCAGTCTGCCATACAGGGACATAATTACAATGTGGTAGCCGAGCGCCACTATAACATTGCAATTCGAGAAGTAGCAGTTGCTGTGCCACGGCTAAATAAAGAGAATTGCCATGCAATCTACACCGCTGCTGTGCACATCTTCATCGGCTCACTCGCCATGGGGCCGCGACCAGGCGAGTACATGGCATTCCGAGATGATGGCCAACCTGGCTTCCTATCCTTATTCATTGGTGTCAGGACAGTATTGGAGATAAGCAGCAAGCTGTTTTCACCAGATGTAGTTTTAAAGGGTGATGAAGGAGAATTGGGTTCCGAGTCAGAATCGAACGCAGAGACAACAGGCTTCGTCAGAAGTTCAACTCTCGCTTCCGAATATGGCTACTGGATGGCCCAGTTGCGACATCTTATAGAATCCGAACTTGGTACACCGGATCCGCGTTATCCAGTTTATTTTACGGTATTCGAACGACTTGACCAGTGCTACGATGCTATCTATAGCCCCAGTTCGCCCATAACAACTGCGCTTCTATGGCCATGCGTCTTCGGGTGGCTCTACAGACTACCGGATGTTTTCATGTTTGGACTTCAGCAGAGGGACCAGCCGGCATTGGTCATATTTTCATATTTCGTTCTCTTGTTGAATGAGCTCACCTGGAATTGGTTCCTTCAAGATTGGCCTAGACATATCCTCACTGGCATTCACCGTAACCTCGACGTCTACCACCAACAATACCTGCAATGGCCTATAGACTGCGTGACAGCCAAAGTCTAGAACGCTTTGGCCCTGTGAACAGTTTGTGTCAAACATGCATGAGCGATAAAGCTTCTGATATATGGAAAAGTCAACTGGTCGCTCGCAATATGCCCTGTTTAGACTTTGTGCGCACATTCTACGATCACCAGAGTACTGGGATTGCCTATGTTGCTGATTATCAGTGCAATTGTTAAACACATCTGCCTCTTCAAGGGCCATGCACGCTCCAAAATGCGAGATACCATGCATTTATTTACCACTAATAGGGAAGCATGATGCTGATACGCCAAACAGCCTTATCACTCCATCGGAAGTGCCTACAGGAGCAATAACACCTAGCGCGCGCGTGTGTGACTATAGGAGTCGAGCCCTACGCCTATGTACACAATGGGGGCTTTCCCCTGCCCCAGTGACCTGCAGATCCCACCACCTTTCTAATCGGAACAACACCTATGACGATCGAGACTCGGATGATACAGCTGGGGCCCTGGCCCAGGAATGCTAGGGCTGCTGCGAAGCAAGGGCCTTCGTTCGATCCACCACTGGACGTCTTTCGGAGTCAGAATCACATTATCTTAGAGTATACTCCTCCAGGGAGCTCTGACTATCTTAGAAGCTGTAACTAAATTAGACTCCAAGTCAATCTGGGTTTAGTCTTTCTATATTAACAATATGAAAATTCTTGAAATACATGATAGAATGTTGAGAATAGTATTCAGATTGAATGGCACCTGTAGTACCCTTTCTAGAACTCCATATCCATGTTGCCACCTCGTAACCAACCACTAGTAGAAACATGGACTTCTGTTTGTAGCTTAAGGGCCCGGGCACATCCTCAATCAGTGGTCCCGGAGAAGCCTGAAAATCTTCCAGTTCACCCCTGTCCGAAACTACACTTCCCTCGGAGTAAGATAAGACCGATACGAGAACGTACGAGTGATTTAACCTCGCCACGACACGCCTAAATGGTATCTACTATCCACACAACGTGCTGGATTGAACTATGCCACTGTAGATCCTCATGGTGTAGTGCCTTGTTCTATGGATATTAAGGTACTACGTAGTATAAACATTAGGGCTCCCTGAATAGGATCCACATGGGGTCAACAACTATTTAACTTTCTGCTCGTTCATTGGCCAGAGACCCATAATTTCTACGATACGAACGCGGACTTCCTTTTTGGGCAAGTGGGTACCATAGCCTTAAGGAACTTTTCCACGAGGTAAAACGGAGGACTATGATCCCAAACAGGAGGGAAGTGGATGAATAGAGATTTCAATCCCTTCTATTCCTAGCTATTTAACCCTCATGGTACCCGGCTCCAATAAACAGGACATCCACAGGCTTTTCTCTTCTTCTGGAAACCAAGAACCTCGACTTATATATGGAATCCGACCTTCTACACTCCTTGCTGCTTCCGTGAAGAATATCAAACTTCAGCCACCACACTCCTTACCAGAAATTCATAATCAGTCCATCACACTCACTCGTTTATCCCTAATATCCCTATCCCGCCGCATGATCTCTTTGAAAATGGCCCAAGCAACAGACAAAATCTACCGCTCCTGGCCTCATGGCCCGCCGACATACACGCAAGCCAACCCAGGCCAAGCCCGCGATATCACACAGAACAGCGGCTGGAACTATTCTCTCTTCGACTGCTGTGACCCGGGTTCACTGTGTAAGGCTGACATCACAGCCCTTTCTTGAAACAGAACATCATACAACTAACATATGCAACCTTGGTGCGCTTCAGGCCTGATGAGCTGGTGTCTCCCGTGTTTGACATTCGGGAAAACACAAGCTAGGAGCCAGGATGCTAGCTTGAATAGCTTTAGTTACTGTAATGCAGATGTAAGTTTCTCTAATATATTAACCAGGAAGAAAGAGAGAGAACAGCTGCTGATGAGCACTTAAAGTGCACCATTTTCACTGGTCTCGCTTTCATTTACTCCCACTGGATCATCCAGACGATCAGACGTGGTGAGATGCGTGAACGCTTTGGTATTAAGGGTAGCTGTTGTGGGGATTGCTGTGTGACGTTTTGTTGTTCGTGCTGCGCTCTCATCCAGGAGGAGAAGGAGGCGGAGCTGCGGACGAGAGCGGAGTTGCGGTATCAGATGACGCCGGGGATGGAGTATAAATGAGCTTTGGTGATGCTGGGAGATGGGATAGGACTTGGACTGGGTTCGTTTCGCTCGCTACTGGACTTTCTTTTTATATAGCATTTCCTTTGTCTTTTCTTTTGTTTACCAATTTGTTGCTTTAATTGTATTTCCTCTGGATAGTTACAAAAAGTGGTCATAGTGCCCACTGGTCAAGCCATGTCTGCACCAAACTAGAATCAATGGGACCGAGGGCTCGGAATGTAGAGCTCATTTCACTCGCATTGTCCGTTACAAAGTGGGAAGAGTTGCCATGACCATCTTCGCGCGCTAGTCGCTCGTAGAAGCTTAGAAGCTTGTACGCTGGTTTATCCTCAAGGTTGACATTATCCTTGCCAAGTGACTCAACCCAACTTTGTAGACTCACAGGGTTTGCACCGATGCTGCTCTGAACCGTTGGTAAAAGTGTAGCCCAGGTTGATCTATTTGGGTTGACTAGATTTATGACCCTTGCAGGACTACTGTGCTCATTCTCGTTGCCACCTTGGATGATTTCTAGGACGATTTGGGCTAGTGTATCCTGCAGCGGTTAGTGAATGCAGGCCAAAGGTAGAGGAGGGGGTACGTACAACAGGTATCCAGTCCACCGGCATACCCAAAGTCTCAGGTAGAAAGCCCATTGATCTTGAAGTAAAAACTAGAGCAGGAAACCACTCATCTCGATTCCAGCAGCCCCCAGACTTTGTCGTGGGTCCTGCAATCTGTCCGACTCGCAGAATAGTTACCGGAACACCTGAACGGGAGGACGCAGCCAAACAGACATTTTCAGCTACGTACTTCGATTGACCATAGCCCTGTAATGGAGGCTGAACTGTATCCGGTACAATATCCTCCGGGATCTTCCTCCTTGATGGGTCCCAGCTGGATGCAGTAGCAATTGAGGATACGAGATACATATGCACTCTTTTTCGGCTGTATATGCTTAGGTCCAGTAGGTTCCGCATGCCACGTATGTGGTCCTGCTCAAAGGAGTAAACAGATAAATTGAAGTCCACCTTCCAGGCATTGTGCATGATGGCGTCAGTTGTATTCAGGAGCTCGTTGTATTTGCTCATCGATAACCCTAGACTTTTTTCCCCTAGGTCTGCCGTGAGGAACTCTGCTTTGGGAGATAGTAAAGCTTTCACGTTTAGGTGCCTGTCGTGGAATGAAGATCTCTGTCTTTCGAAGGCATCGGAAGATCTGTTCAGGCAGTGAACCTTCTTAATCGAAGGGTCCGATAACAGTGCGTCCAAAAGATAGCTCCCGAATGAGCCGGTAGATCCTGTGAGTATGACATTGGACCGTGGGGACACCTGTACTGTTTTGTCCTCCACGCTTGGAAGTGAATTGGTGTATTTGTCGATGAGATGTTTCAACGCCGCTTGCACGTCCCCAACTTCATCCACTAATCCGTCACTACTGATGTCCCCTTTCATGACGTCCGAGAGATACGAGGCCAGACCCTTGATAGTGGAATATCTGTAAATTATCTGAGGATCAATCCGTATCCCTTCTGATCCCATGCCGATGCCCCGTGTTATCTTCCGAGCCATGCGAATGACCTGCAGAGAGTCTAATCCAGCAGTAAAGAAGTCTGTGTCGTCTGCGAGTTCGAGATGCTCGGAAACACAAGAGATGACACGTCGTACAAAGCCCTCCATGTCGTCTCCCAGAAGGGCATCACTTGAACTTCGCCCTGGGCTTGAATTGTCGTCACTCCCCAGCGCCAATATATCAGATTCATATTCTTTGCAGACCAATGAACGTCTCAATGTCCCTTTGGCATTGAGCTGGAACGGTTTCTCACGGTTCGCAATTCCAACTCTATCCTTCTCGATATAAGCATAACTCGGCCCCAACTTATTCGCTGCTTCAACACTATCCCAGATCTTGTTGATGAAATCACCACCCTGGTCCTGGCCATCTAGCTTGTCCCAGTCCGGCTCCACTAGAAGCACGCATTCAGCCATCCCGTGACCAGCAATAATAGCCTTGTGCACGAGGTCATGACGTTCGACTACCCCTTCCATCTCAATCGGGTTCACCTTCTCTCCATTGCCAAGGACAATCACATCGTCTGTTCGTCTTTCGAAATGCCACAGCCCATCTTTCGTGGGATGCCTCGAGAAAAGATCCTTTGTCCTCCATTCTAGAAGATCAGGGAACACATGAAAGATACCATGAAGTAGGCGGCTATCCGGTGACCGGCGAACAACCATCTCGAATAATCCTTCATCATGTGGCTCCATATGTATATCAGGGTAGAAGGGCCATTCGAAATACTTCCAATCTCGGGGTGATGTCTTCGATTTGGTAGGTGGGATATGTCCCAACTCCGTTGACCCGATGAGAGGGATAAGCTTGCAATATTTACTGATTGTATCACCAGCCTCGGTGGAGAGTGGCCCCCCAGCAAAAAACATATATTCAATCTTTGAAACCGTCTGAAGCCCCTGTGCTGAAGTGCTTATATCTTGTAGGATGGACGGTGGAAGAACAGCGGCTCGTGGACGGAGTGTCGATAGTGCATCGAGCACAGAATCGACGTCAGGCTTGGAGGAGTAATGAATTATCTGTTGGCCGTGGAAGATTGCATCTAGGACCAGAGTAAATCCGATTAGATGAAAGAGCGGGCTCATTTGGAACATCGGCTCTCCGCGTTGTAGGCAATTCCACCATCCACACGTCGAGTCCTCGGGTGTACCAGGTGGTGCGCCCCTGTCCATAAAGGAAAAATATCCATGAGTCAATGGGATGGGCTTCGGCTGTCCTGAGCTTCAGTTAATACTTTTAAGATATACACAATGGAGTGGTTATATGCCTACCAGTTGTCCCAGAGGAGTGCAAGATCACAAAAGTTTCATTTTCAGCTTCTCGGTATGTTTTGTGGTACGGGTAATGTGCAACGCTACTATTCAAGAGCTCATCAAGGGACGGAAATTGCCAGACTTGTAATTCCGGTATGACGGCTTGCGCTTGTGCTGACTGAGATTGACCACCCCATAGAAGACATTTACACCCAACGGCACGAAAGAGATGCGCATTTGCTTCCGCCGAGTTCCGTGTGGATGGGAGAAATGTCTATATCTGTCACTATGGCATGCCCTTGATTATTGGCGGGTTACTAACCTTATAGCCCGCTTTTGCAAGAGCAAGAGCACATATCATGTAGCGGATATCACTTGGCCCCATATACGCAATCGTCGTTGTGTCGCATTTCTTGGCGACTGTGTTCTTGAACCACCACGCAGCATGGTCCACTGATTGGGCTAATTGCCGTTTGGATAGGGATATCCATTGATCTGGGATGTTATTATCTCTTAGGATCTGGCCGAAGGTGCCATCAGGGTCGGCTTCGGCGTTGTTGTCCACAAGGTGAGGAAGTAGGCGACTCCCAACAGCGGTGGCCATCTTGACTGTGTTGGGGAAGTAAGTCTGTCCAGATAGTTTCTGAAATATAATACATATATATAACTAGCTAAGAACTTTGTCATTCCTACCGTACTCGGAGTCTAGTTGGTAGCCTGGCATGAAGAAATTGATAACTCGACATTACTTGGCCATAGCCTCGCCGTGTTAGGAAATAGGCCCATCACTTCTTGACAGAAGAATCAGGATATTGCCGAATCAGACCGAGTCCAATGTATTGGGCTGCCTGGTTTACTCCGAAACCTTCATTTCGGTCCCTGTTTAGGTTCAGATATTGTACCTGTGCAAGTCTCGGGTAGAGCCAGAACAAGTTGGACTACCACACGAGCCAGGCATGTGGCTTACGAGACTAGAGAATAATTGGTGAGAGGAAAGGTCAATGGTTGGGTTCAATTATTACCTTCCTGGCTGGCCTTCCGTCGAATGATGATTCATAGCGTCATGCGTCGTAGCCAAGGTTCAAACGCGACTGGGGGCAATTGTGTCCCTAATTGCGAATGCTTGAATGGCGGATATACAATTGATAAATCACCCAATTCACATTGAGAAAATACCCGAGGTCGTTGGGCATATTCGTAAGCATTTGATGCGACCAGTAGAGCTTTCGTAAGGTGCCGCACTTCTACAACCCTGATGTTGCGGCCAGCAAGTGGGGAAAGCCTACCACGTTTGTACAAGGCACGTTAACGGCTACCTTATAAGAAGTCCCATCCTATTTCCCTAGGCAGTGGTGAAGACAAAGCTGCAATGTCCCTCGTCACGGTAGCATCGGTTGAGGATGAGCCGTCCGAAGAGCCCGAGCTGATTGCCTGCGCATCCCAGCCTTCTATGCATTGATAGCAATTGGCCTTTCCCATGATGCGTCCACCTACCTCAATTAGCTCTTCTCTAAGTGAAACCACGCGTGGGTAAAGTGATCGTTGTTCGGTATGTTGCAAAACGGTTGGTGCTTGTAAAGTCACAAGACAGCTGGCAGATCGGTTTTCGTATATAGAGACCACGGAAGAAAAGTCTGTCATAATTCGGGCCAAGGCCATGGCATGATTCCAGCCGCTGGAGAAGCTCTGAAGAATCGCTATACAGCTTTGTATCTCTTGCTTGGCTGAAAACACTGTGCTCGCTGCATGACCAAAGCAGTATAGAAGGACAAGGCATGCAGGGACGCATCGGGTTAACGTTATGTAGTTAAGCGGCAGTTGCCCCAGTTCCAGCAATATATGGCTGTAATGAATATACTTCTGAACGACATTCAAGAGGTGCTCATGAGACCCTGGACGTGGTGGTTGATTGAATGGTGTCGGATAATAGATCAGCATCAGTAGTTGATAGTAACGTGCGTTAAGCCACGCCATGGTGTCATGGATCCTAACATTACTTGGTTCTGGACGAGAAATGAGGCATCCATCACTGTACCAGTTATCCACTGCGTAATGTAGATCGCTAACAATAGCGGTGCGATCGGAAGGAGACAAGGACCGCACATCTGCCCGAGGACGTAGAAAGATCGCATCCATAATATTGCTCTCGAGACGACGTAGCTGGATGACATGGCGCGTTACCAGCAACATACTCGAAATCTCTGCTCGCTGCGCCGAGGCAAACTCAGTAACCGTCACGGCTGGCAGTGGGACATGAATGTCCGGCACAAACAGCCCGGGAGGCTGTCCAACGGAGGACGCGACCATGCGATCCAATACATAAACGCTCCAAAACAGTCGATGTGACTGCTCCTCTGATGGCAACGCATGGTCTGCGCACGTTGTGCGCTGTGAAGTCAGACCCTGTGCCATGGCTTGCCGCGTCAGGATTCCAACAACCATCCACGGAGAAGGGCCGTCGGGATCAAAAAGTGAATACAACGTCAGTAATAGAAGAATTTGAACTGAATCCATGCCCTCATTCTCTATGCAATATTGAAGAATGACTGAATACGGTAGTTTAACCTCTTTCCCAGTCAGTGGACTAATCTTTCCTGATCGCTCAAGAGTCGTCCGCCCAATAGCGTGGATGAGGTAGAGTATCTGGCCAGTCTCGTTAGTTGAGTTTGTCTACTCATCTGCCGTATTCCTTGGGATAATGACATTTTCATGGAATGCAACTCACCATTGAGTCAGCATTATTCTCTATCAACATCACATTCGCATTCGCACTCTGCACTTGCATAATTCGCGCTTTATCGACGAAAGGATATGCCCGATGAACGTGGTGAAAGTAAGCATCAAGACATGCCAGCGACCGTGGTCTTTGGCTGTCTGTCCCCTCCCAACGCGTCACCGAAGTCCCCTTTTTCTGTTCTGTATTGTCGTGCGCATTGTCAAGGGGCGGGCTTGCCTTCTGAACTTGGCCATTAGATTGAGCACGCACCAGGTTTCCTGGGGAGTTCATTCCCCCTTCACCCTTGTCACCAACTTGTGACCCTTCCTGAGATATTGAAGTCATGTTCCGTTCCTCGGCCGCTCCAGGTATGTTGTCTTCAATGTATTGCGTGAGCCATTGTATTCGCGCATGAAGAACCTCTGGTGACGACGCAGCTATTCGATCTGACGTGAAATACGAGCATTTCCGTCCAGCGTCCGTACACGATCTGCAGGAAGGTAGGGTTTTGCTACATTTCTTCTTGTACTGGCGGCAGCGGTTGCAGGCTGGAGGCGGACACGCAGACGGCCACCGAGGCTCCGGCTGCCTCTCAGCCCCATTGCGGTCGGGACTGGGTTGACTTAGTCGATAGCGCTGGGTGTGGTATTTCATTGTTGGAGGATCCTCTGCAGGTCTCAGTAATTAACTATTGCAGATAGCAAATGCAGTCGCTGGGATCGGCTCCATATTCGCGACCGTTCTCAATATTCAATGACTTGCGGGGGTCGAGATTGCAACATTTGCGCAGAGAACCACGTCAACCAGGCTAAAAGTGGATGGAGCTGCGGACGGACGTGACATCCAAAGTGCTTTCTGGAGTCCAGACCCTCACTTATCCGTATGCGGTTAGTCGACTCTTCAGCTATACGAAGACCACATAGAGTAGAAGAGGTTAAGAATCAGGCACCACGCATGTTTTGACCCCGCACCCTTGCGAATGTCCCCAATCTCACAACAAAACCTCTCAGCCGCATCGAATATCCTCCACAACCCTGTCTCCAGCAAAGTTGACGTAGGACTTCCTAACAGCATGCGTCTCAAAACATGGGGAAAGGATTTGAAGTCCCGTCTCAGAACCAAAACGACGTCTTTGGCTTCAGTATCACCTCCAATCGCAATCCGTCAGCATAGTGGAAACCAGGCCCAGGAACCTCCCCACCCTCAAGATTTATGGCAATCTGCGTATGATCAGCTAGGCCGGAAGGAACAACAGGCTTTGTCAACATCTGAACTAATCCCTGCCCAAATACGAAGCAATCAGAACGGACATTCCCCAACAGAGGCTATAATTGAGGGTGTCATTCAGAAGACTAAACAACAATATGAAGAATGCCAAAATGGGGCCTTGAAAATCCGGAGATCCACGGGGGAGGATATCAATCTTCGAGAACTGTCACGCAACATAATTGATGCGGCGTTATCCTTCAAGGATATTATCAGTGCGGTGGTAGCCTACGATCCGACTCAATACGCAGCAAGTGCTTGGGCTGTTGTCTCACTTGGTTTGACTGTAAGCTGTTGAGAGCTCTGGAGTATTAGCCAGCAAAACCTAATCAGAAGAGGATCCAAACATATAGATGACTAAAAACCGCTTTGACCTGCGCGATACCTTATTTGACTCTGCAGAGTATCTGGCAAATGTTCTTGCCCGGTGTGCCTATATTGAGAAAGGCATCTACCGCAACGATGCATGGAAAAATGCCGAAATAGCACGCGCTATCATTGGAGTTTATAAAGCCATCCTCCACTATGCGGCAGAGGTGTCAACTGCTCAACAGCCCAGTATGGGAAGGTGGATACAGGACACTGTTACCGGATTCACCAAGCAACGCCTCCTCGACCTCCAATCCTCGGTCAAAGAAGAAGAGCATTATCTGCATCAATGGGTTCAGATGGATCAGCACTTGCGCCATAATGAACAAGCGGAGCTTCTTATCAGCCAATGTGACAAGATGATAGAGTCTGTTCAAGGGCTCATCCAGCGTTTCAGCCTACCCATTGCAGAAGGCGCGTTTTATGATTCCTATGACAGTCAGCATGAAGACAAATGTCTTCCAGAGACCCGAACTGAGATTCGTCGCCAGATTACAGATTGGGTTGCGTCGCCCGACGGGAAATGCATATTTTGGCTAAATGGCATGGCAGGGACTGGGAAGTCAACCATTGCCCGCACCGTTGCACAGTCCTTTAAAGAGAAGGGGCTACTGGGCGCAAGTTTCTTCTTTAAGAAGGGCGAAGCAGAACGTGGCAATGCGAAAAGATTAATATCAACGGTCGCAAAACAATTGATCACCAGCACGCGTCAGTTAGTGCCAGGCATCATGGCCGCGATTCAAAACGATCCACATATTTCCTCGAAATCCCTTAACGAACAGTTCCACAAGCTTCTCCTTGAGCCACTAGTCAATCTAAGGTTAGATGAGCCTACGTCTACAGTGATTGTGATTGACGCTTTAGATGAGTGCGAGGAAGAGGATATAAGACTCCTTTTAGATCTCCTACCACAGGTAGATCAATCCAAATCTCTACGCGTACGGATCTTCTTGACAAGCAGACCTGAGCTTCCAATCCGGCTTGGTTTTCAGCAAGTTCTAGAACATCAGGACTTGGTGCTTCATGAGCTTCCCACTCCAGTGATTGAACGTGACATAAGGCTATTTCTCCAAGATCGACTAGGTAAAATACAGAAGGAGCATTCATTGCCCCCTGGTTGGCCGGGTGAGGATACTATGGAGATTCTACTATCTCGATCGCTTCCTCTGTTTAGCTTCGCAGCTACAATGTGTCGCTTCATTGGAGAGAAATATCAGATACCCGAGGACCGTCTTGACGCAGTTCTCAATGATTCGGCATCTACATCTGGCTCGCAGATGGAAAGAATATATCTGCCGATCCTGAACAAACTGCACAGGGAGATGGAGACGACCAACTTTGCACAGGAGATACAGGAAGTACTGGGAGTCATCATTCTGTTGGCAGCCCCCCTTTCCGTTCAAGCTCTCGCAGGGTTCATTAATATCCCTGAAAGGAGAGTTCGCTCTCGTTTAGCCGCGTTTCACTCTGTACTTAGAGTGCCTAGCAACGGTGAAGCCCCAGTCCGCACGCTGCATTTATCCTTCCAGGAATTCCTTCTCAACACAAATAGTATTTTCCATGTCAACGAGAAGGAATCACACAAGAAGATAGCATTATATTGCCTTTCCACTATGAACTCTAGCCTCAAACAGAACATCTGCGGTCTGCCAAGCTATGGAACTCAGCGAGCAGATATCGACCGTCACATTATTAACAAGTCCCTTCCAGCAGAGTTGCAATATTCCTGCCGCTACTGGGCATACCATATCAAGCAGGGCGAGGACCAGGTACATGAAACAGAAGTTCTTCTATTTCTAAAACGACACTTTCTTCACTGGTTGGAGGCCATGAGTTTGATGGGGGTAATGTCGGAGGTGGTCAATATAATAAACACACTACGGCCAACAGCACAAGTACGTCTACATAATTTGTTACGGGGCATAGCTAATTGAAGAATATAGACCGACCAGCGTTCTGAGCTTTCATTATTCTTGCATGATGCCAAGCTGTTTGTACTGAAAAGTATTTATATCTCCAACGACTTTCCACTCCAGTTATATTGCTCGGGGCTTGCCTTCTGGCCGACGTATAGTATTATTCACAAGGCTTTTCAAGAAAGCCAAAGATGGGTATATATCTTACCACAGCTTGAGAGTTCAACGAGCGCAGACCGACAAAACATGAAGGGCCATTCTGACACGGTTCAACCTGAGTCCTTCCCACTAAATGGTCAGATCACCTCCGCATCCAAGGATAATCCCGTTAAAACCTTGGACCATTCCAATTCTATTGTGTCGGTGACATTTTCGCCAGACGGAGAGATGGTCGCATCTGGCTCTAAGGATAATATTATCAAGCTCTGGGATCCCAAAACCGTTGAACAGCTGCACATCTTAGACGGCCATTTTGACTCGGTTGTGTCAGTAGTATTTTCACATGACAGTCAGATACTCGCCTCTGGCTCGTATGATCATACTGTTAAGCTCTGGGATATCAAGAGCTGTCAACAGCTGCGCACTCTCCACGGTCATTCCGACTCAGTTGTGTCTGTCGCCTTCTCACCCGATAGCCAGATCATTGCCTCAGGCTCCGATGATAGTACCATCAGGCTGTGGGACGCCAGGACTGGTCAGCAGCTACGTACATTAAAGGGCCACTCCGACTGGGTTCAATCAGTGGCATTCTCACCAGATGGTCAGATAGTGGTCTCCGGTTCCTATGATAATACCATTAAGCTCTGGGAGACCAAGACGGGTCAGCAGCTGCGCACTCTTGAAGGTCATTCTAGCCTAGTTGCCTCGGCTGTCTTCTCGCCAAATGGCTACATGATCGCCTCCGGCTCCTACGATAACACGATCAAACTGTGGGATACCAAAACTGGCCAGCATCTCCGGACCCTAGAGGGCCATTCCGGACTAGTCCGGTCGGTCGCCTTCTTGTCAGATAGTCGTATAGTTGTCTCTGGCTCCTATGATAGCACTATTAAACTCTGGGACACTGAAACCGGTGAGGAAATGCGGACCATACAGGGCCATTCTGGCCCGGTTCGGGCAGTAGCGCTTTCACCGGATAGCCAAACAATTGCCTCTGGTTCTTATGACAATACTATCAAGCTTTGGGACGCCCAAACCGGTCAACAGCTGCGCACGCTGGAGGGCAATTCAAGCCCGGTTGTCTTCGCAGAGGATGTTCAGCTGGTCCAGTCAAATTCCCTGCTATCTGTGGAGGATGGCTGGGTAACCTTTGCAGGTGAGAAGGTATTGTGGCTACCCTTCGATCATCAGCAATTTTCCTCTTCCGTCGCCAAAGAAAATACACTTGCCCTAGCGTATCCAGATGGACGAGTGTGTTCCATGGAGTTTCGTGCACCTGCCGTGTAGCTGTGTGCCCCTCATCTTGGTTTGTTATCTTTCATACCGTAGATATCGATATATGCCAACACTGGCCATCCGTTGACCTTTACAAGTTATTGAGGCCGAGAAAACGCCCAGTGAAGCGAGGATAGGAAGGACTGTTTCATGACGCGTCGGTAGGGTTATCGCGACAAAGGGTCTGTTGAAAGAGGGAAGGAAGGTTGTTTTCATCGCCACTAAGTGAACCGGAGATATTTGTGGTCAGTCGTGCCCAACGTTGTTGGCGCTCAGGTGCACAAGGCGGAGGCGATCAATGAATCAGTCAATCGAAATTCTACTTACCTGATGAACCATTGTTTTCTCCGTTTTTTCTACCAGTAGTCGGCTCCGGGCCCTGGTTCGGCGCTGCGTCGCGTATCTGGCTCAGTAGATCTGTTCGTAGACAAACCTGGCAATGTAGCATATCGCGTGCGGCTGTGAGGCAACGAAGTTCCAATTAGCTATCTTTCCTTGTAGTCCCATGATTCGCGCGATGCGACCGAGTAAGAACCTTGCTCAGGTCGGTGTACAGTGGATAGCGCAGGAAGACATATCTCAAGATCTAGGATCCTTTGTAGCAGTGACACCAATCTGGTTCAGCTACCAAATCTTATCTTATCCTCCCCCTGGTTCGCGTGCTTGGCATGGGCTGTCAGGGTGGATCGGGCCGTCCCGAAACCATAGATGTGGGTCAGTAACAATCTCCTTCGAGGAAGGTCGAGGCATGGAACCATGAGAGTGGCGCGATCAGTGAGCGAGTCATCATTGAGGACTATGGGCTTAACTCGTTGGCACTAGAGACATGGTGGGAGATCCTATATCCCAATTTCGTTCGAACGGTAGGCCGGCGAGAACGTCCGTATTGTGAAAGTAATAGACCTTCAAGAAGGTCGGAAACCTCTCAAAAACATCAAAACTGAAGGGTGCATGTCTGTGGCTATGAGTCCGCTAAGTAGAGAAATGGGATTTCACAATGTACCCGCATGGCATGGGATGAGTCCTGTTAGCCAATACGAGTAACGTAGTAGCTCAGTTTGCCCCAATCCATACCTATTTCCAATGGTGTCAGACTATATCGCCGGAGTGGCTCCCAGGGTCAATACACTGAGGCTGGGACTAAGAGTTGTGAGGGCCGCTTGCGACAAGCTGTGAAGCTTCCAGACGATCGGGGCTTGTTGAGCGTACCTACAGGAGGAATGAACAGAACTGCCAGATCGCTTCAACCATGACCAAGAAGCCCGTGTGCTTGAAGTCGACATAAGCGAAACTAGTACGCATACGTCCTGAACCAGCGTGTGCGTCTGGGGGGTAATGAGGCAGACACCCCGTTGTCGATGCATTGGGAGACGGTGAAAATACCAATACAAACCACCTCTGTATGGTGTCAGTATAGGAAATGAAAGGGAAGGAGCGCAGCGACGGCCCTCAAGGTAGCAGTTGCCCTACATGCGCCTTTAATAGCTACACGTCCACGAATCACAGCAATCGAAGCACGTACCACCAGAAGCCCTAACTGTAGATATGAATATAAATGAGGTGCAATGTAATAGCCTCAGGAATGCAGGCATAGAGTTGGCGGGGCACTCATGGTTTAGTATTTGGTACCGAAGGCACTGCCACTGGTGATGCTATAATGACACTTTTTGCCACGGGCGTAGGTTCTCCCAAGTCCACTTCAGCTTCGAATTCCTCCCTTTTCCAACAATCACACCATCAAGCACTGCAACAGAAAGCAAGCCCAAAAAGCTACCAACAAGTGTTCCTGAATCAAAGCTTTCAAAGAATTCCTTTAGCAATCAACTATTTCCTCTAAAGTTTTCCAACCAGCAATACGATGGTGTATTTTACCATGATTCAAATTCTCCTTCTCCTGGCCTTCATTTTTCCGGGCAGTGAGGCCCTCCCTATGGGAGTTGCTAAACCTACGCCTTCTAAAGCCATCATAGGGGCTGCCCTAGGCATAGGGCTAGTCGTCTTGGTCCCCACTCTAGTCTGGGTGGGGATGACCATCCGTCGACGCATTCGACGGTGGAGATTCAACCGGAAAAGGGCAGCATGGCGCCAACAAATGGCGCAGGATATACGTGCCATGAGGGCAGCAGAAGAGGCAAGCATAGTCAAAATCCCGAGGTTCGCAGTTGGCCAAACCGTGACACAACCAGAACGATGGTAAGATGACCCTACGAATACGGGAGGAAGAACAAGCCTTCTAACATAGGTTTATAGTGTCGTCAGAGACAGCCCGCCTCCTGCGAGCCCGGCAACCAGCCTACACACCATCCCAGAAGACGATGGCTTCTAGGCAGCGTTTGCCCGACTTTTGCTTTGTGTTGGGGAGAGGGTGGAAGACCCAGTCGGGCATTGCACGGTGGGAGGGTTGGGGTCCCCTATTGTGGGACAGTGCAATACCCGGCTGGGGGTAGGGAGGACGGTGTCTCTTTAGGGAAGCTCTCGAGGGGCAGTGGGGGGTGGTGGTAGACCCAGCCAG